TAATATTTCAAAGATATCTGAGGGCTTACTATGAGTCAGGGTCTGTCAGGAAGAGAGTTGCAGAAACTTTGGGACACATACTCATTTCCTCTCGGACCCTTAACATATGAATGAAAGCACTCTTAGCAGAGCAGATTTCACAGGTTTATCAGGAATTCTTTGTGATGCCAGATTTCCCCCCAGGACATGCTGGAGCAAGGCAAGGAGCTGCACCCCTCCCCATCAGGTATTCAGGCTTAAGGGGATTAGAGCCAGGAAGTGCTACTCTCAGAGGACATGGGGATTCCGGCTATGTCAAAGCCAGGGGGCAAGAGTCTATTGCTCTTTGTTGCAGCTCCGAGTCCTTCCATGATGGCCTCCCAAGTGATTGTGTCTGGCCTAGGTTGCCCCTCCTCTGAGGGGTCTTACCCGTCATTGACTTCCAACTATGCTTTGGGAGCAGGGAGGAAACTGAGGCAGCATTTGCTAGCAGAGACAAGCTTTGTCTCCTGTGGCTCGCATTCCAGAGGTCGCTCACTCATCCTTAGCCACAGGGGGTAGAGTTACAATTCCTAGAAGGCAGAGCGGTCCACAACACATAGCCACCTTTGTTTAAAAATTATTTAAACATAGTCCCCAAAGTAAGACTTTGGAATCTCACCCAAGGGAAGGACACTGCACTCAGAACTTTTCTCAGTTGGACCTGGATGCTGTCTCCAGGATTCCCCAGTGTCTAGGTTCAGGTGTTGGTGATTTCCTGTCTGGTGATATATGCTCTTGATTCTTGCTTTCTCTTTGCTCTTGCTCAATAAAGTGCTTAACTATTCACTTTTGACTTGTGGTTTTTATTGTCTGTGAATCCAAACCTCCAAACTAAGTGGCCATGATCTCTTACATACCCCTGAATGGCAGTCTTCTACTGTATTGAAATTTTTATTAATATAAAATGTTCTTTGTCTCTTGTCAACATTTTGATTTAAAGACTATTTTGTCTGATATTACTGCAGCCATTGCTCATGCAAAGGTATGATTTGCATGAAAAACATTTTTCCATCCTTTCACTTTTAATCTGTTTGTGTTTTTGGATCTAGAGTGAGTCTTTTAGAGACATCAAATAGATCAAGTTTTTGTCCTTTGTTAAATCCATTGTTCCAATCACTGTCTTTTGATTAGGTATCCATTTATATACAATTACTGATACAGAGAGACCTATTTTTGTTATCTAGTTATTTGATCTCAATGTTTTATAGTATTTTTGTCCATTTCCTGCACTGAATCTACTGAAAAATGTGCTTCATTCTAATTCTGCTCTATCGTCTTTGCTTGTGTTTCATTGATTTTTATAAATATCCATTCCCTTATCTTTTCTTTTTGTGTATATTCTATACTGTTTTGTCATTACTGTGGGGATTAGATTTTACATCCTAAAGTTATTATACTCTAATTTGTTACCACATTGCTTCAAGTTAGTGTTTCTTTTTATTGCAACCTTCAGGAGTCCCTTTATCATTTCCTGTAGGGTAGGTCTAGCGGTAATGAATTCCCTGAACTTTTGCTTGTCTGGGAATGCTATAATTTCTCTGTTATAGGGGACTGTTCTGAGTGGCATGGGAAATGTAGCCCAGCCCCCACTTGGAAAGGCCAGTGGGGAGGGAGGTCTGGCACATAAGACCCATACCCATGGATAGGCTCTTCGGTGGAAAATCAGGCTTGCATTGTACTTAGGCTGCTATGAGACTTGCTTTTGCTAAAACTCCCTCACCCTGGATTGAGGCAGAAAACATTTACTGCATATGTCTAAAGTACCATCCTAAACTCTGTGCTAAACCTCCCAAGTATGAAGTGTAACCAGTTAATCACTTTTCCCCTTGATCTGTAACATCCATCTCTTTGAAGTAATTAGCAACATTCTTTCCCTTGTTACCTGTAAAATGTGATCACCTGCCACGAACCTGTGCATAGTAAATGAGGACCATCCTCAATGTAATGTATCCAGAAAAGCATTAAAAGCTTGCCCAGGCAGGGGTCAAGGCCCTCTCTCTCACTTAGAGAGTGGCCATACTGTCCCTTTTTCTCCACAGGAGTCCATGTGAATTTGTCTTTCACGGCCACAACACATGGACCCTGCCATCTGGGGCCCATATCACTCTGTCACTTGCGAAGGGCACTTTCGCCAGACATTCTTGGTTTATAGCTTTTTTGCTTTGTTTTTTTTTTCCTTTTGACATTTTAAATACATCAGCCCACAACCTTTTGACTTCATTTTGCTTCCCTTTGGGAAGAGCCTCAGAGCTCTTGGTTTGCTTGAGCTGCCTCCTGTCACTGTTCTGGTGTGGATGGCGAGGACCCTGACCTGCCTCTCTAGGATGGATAGGCCAGCTGCATGAGTAGAGCTTGGTCAGGATAGAAGCCACCCGTCTTCCCGTCTGTTGGCATGTAAAGTCTACCCTATAAACAAGCATCAAGAGAGGTGATGGACACTGGTATTCTTGGCCAGCTGTACCTGGGGGACACCCTCCATCCTAAGAGTGGGGGCTGGCTGTGAAAAGGGAGTCCTGACCTCTTGGCTTGCACTTACCTGGAGGTTAGCCTGTGCAACGACACAAAAAGCTAGAGGGCCCTGAGAAATACTGGCAGCTCCTCCCTCCGAGAGCTGTTCTTATCCTTGGATGGGAGTTTGGATGGGAGTTGGGAAGAGAGGGAGCGTAGTCTTCTCGGCCAGCCTCACCCTCGGAGTGGAACTATTGTAGCCCTGAGCTGTGTTTGCTTGCGGTGGGGCGGGGCAGCTGGGGAACAGGTCGTGGCGTAAAGTGCCATAAAACTTTTAAAGTTCGTGGAGAGTTAGGTTTTCCTGATTGTTTCAGGAAACATGTTTAGTACCTTTAGGGCAATCTGCAGATTTTAAATGGTTGTTTAAATTTATTTTCACCAGTTATGGTAGTTACAGAGGGGAGCAGGTCGAAGCTCCTCCTGCAGCCATTCTAGAAGTTAGTTATTAATATTGCAGTTTATTTCCCCAAAAATCATTAAAAAATTAAGTTTACTCATCTACTTTAGGATATTTAAAAAATAAAAAATCTCAACAAATTTTGTTAAAAAGTATTTATCACTAAAAAAAGTCTCAGAATAAAACTACCCCAAGGTAAAAGGTATCGAGACGTGGAACCGAAGAGAGTATTACTTTGAGCTAAACTCCCTGTGAAGTTCAGCAATTGTAATTGTTTTGCTTGTCTGCAAAAATCAGTTTGCTCTTTGATATTTTTCTTTTACATCAAGGACTGTATTTTAATACACAACTGTATTAAACCATAATGCCCAGAAACATGAGTTACCAGACAAAGGCAATGCTCTTCATTCACTGGTCATCCAGTTCATCTCCCCAGCATAGCAAGAGTAGTAACCAAGCACGCAAACCTGTTCACTTTTTCTCCTTTAAATGCTACTCATGCCTGGCTGCCTTTTAAAAATTCTGGAACACAAATGGAGTTTTCTTTTTACAGATCATGTGAACTTTTAAATATTTTATGTTGCTTACTATTTATAAAAGTCGTAGGTGTTAGGTATGTGCATGTGTGTATGACTGTTCTGATAATGATCACAGAACATTAACCTAAAGAACATATATCAAGTGAAATTTTCATTTGCCTTCACCATTATTGTTGTACTTCTAAGAAAGGGGCTATACGAGCTCCTGTTATTAAAGGAACAGTCTCCTCATGTACCTGGGTTTCCAAGTAAAAAGTTTTGCTAATAATTTGACACCACTATTTCTTTACTGCAATGACAGAGATATTTTTAGCACACATTAACAGGTATACAATTAGTAAACATTTAAATTATTTTACAAAAATTTTAATTTCTGTAATTTGGAATTTGACAAACTATGCAGTTCAAAGTGAGTTTATGTTTGTATTATAAACAAGTATAAACGGTGGCAAATTATTCTAATCCAGAAACCCATTTTAAAGAATCTGAGAACTGCTTAAGAGTAAATGGCAGAGTTCAGAGGACCACTGTCAGAGAAAACTTTACAAGGAAATTTCTTCAGGGTTTAGTGGTTGGGCTAGTATTCAATAATTTCTAAGTTCCTTCTAATTCTAAAATTCTTTTGATTCTATAGTTTTCCTAGCAGTTCTATTAGCAGTAAACAATGTTTCTTCTCACTATTGCTGACAAATTATGTCACACACAGGTGGAAATTTTATACATCACTATATATGCTTAAAACAAATGTTCAGAATATGCTGCTGTTCACATGCATCTTCTCCCAATTTGTTTCCGATTGAGACCTTGTCCCCGTTTCTGAATTTCATTATGCTTGAACATGACCTACTGTAGCCAAAATGTCTCCTTTTCTTGACGATGTCCTAAGTAGTACAATAGACAAAATGAATTATAAAAACATTCAACAAATGTTACATCTCAAATCCATAAATAAGCAGTTGTACCTCAAAATTCCTGTTAAACTGTAACTTGTTTCTATGCATACTGTTGGTATATGTGTTCTTGCTCAGTTCTCTCCAAACATGGATTTACATCTGTTATGAAAGGGAAATAGCTTCAAGTTGAATCATAATGCTAAGATGCTAAAAGTAATTATTGTTACCACTTTTACAAGTCAATTGTTGGAGGGCTGGTTCTGGGGACACACGCCCAGATTTTTCCTTTATGTAGGTGACAAGTTAGATAAACAGCTACTTTGGCAAAATATTTACCCACATCATCGTCTTCCAGGAACTGCGAGGGAGATGAAAGGTAAAAACAAATTACTTGGAGACTCTGCAACTTCCAGAAACAGTAAGGAGATCCATAAATAACTAGGGAAAGTCCTTTGTTTCATTGGAGTAAGTTCTAAATGTTATCAGGCTACACAGCGTCTAGTGATCTTCTAATCAAAATTTTCTATTTTTGAAATACTAGTTCATCGAAAATCAAATCTCCATGAATCAAAGTACTATCCATTCCCAGCATGGCAGTGAATTACAGTGAAAAGCAGGTCTACAAAAGACAATCTGAACATCAATGTTTCATACCTTTAATACTGCCTTAAATGGTTTGTGACTCAACTATCTTAGCATACTTCAATATATAAAATAATTACAGTTGAAATAGTTACTCTAAATCTAAGTAGGTAAGTACTATGGCAGTATTTGTTTACTCAGAACATATTTCATTTCAAACATATGTAAAATTTATCACAAAGTCAGAATACAATTCACAGTTTGAACAGAAACCTCAGTGTTTAAATCTCGACATTCAGGAAAACAAACAGTACATATTAGGCTGCTTCTGAATACAAATCACTCATTTAAATAAAATGGGATTTAATATCTAATTTGTGTTAAAAGTGAAGAAGTTGCCCTGGCTAACGTGGCTCAGTCTGTTGGACGGCCGTCCGGTAACTGAGAGGTTGTGGGTCCAATCACTATGCTGAGCGTGTGAGATCCCTGGGCTGGGCATACAGAGGCAACCGATGGTGTCTCTCTCCCGCCCTTCTTCTCTCTCTCCAAAAGCAAGGGGTAAAAATGTCCTCAGGAAGGCCGAAAAAAATTTTTTTAAGTGAAGAAATAAATTTTTATGTGAAGCCTTGACCAACATCAATTAGGTTCAGGATTACCATATTATGATACAAATCAAACTCTACTGATACAACATGTTTGTTAGAGGCTTAGATGTAAAAATAACTACAGTTGGGGAACTCAGGGGTAATGAGAGAAAAAAGCAAACCACAGGTGAGGCCCCCACTTTTATTACTTCATGGATAACAATGCCCACTTTGTTACAGTGGGAGGAAAAAAAGGGGCCCACCTTTTAAAAGTCCATTCATGATATAGTTATTTAACCATATTAATTAGGTACGAAATGATTAGTTTCTGCTCTGAAGATACCCTTTTTTAAAGGGCTGACTTGCCACATTATCTTTGACACGTGGTTAAGCAAAATGAATCTGACTTTACAAATAAGAATGTGTGAATAAGATTCTATATATTCTGAGAAGTTATGATCTAATCCATACTTCTGATTTAAAATATAACTAAGTTTTCTCAATAAACTAATTTTAAATTTTAAACATAAATCATCCTTACTGTACTGTTCTCATTCTCTTTCCTTTTTATTTTTACATTATTTCTATAAATACTCAACTTAGAAAACAAAAACTCTCAGTCTTGAAACCAACTTACACTGGTGCTCTGAGGTTAGTTTATAAGTTTTAAAATATTTTGTTAAAATGTAAAAACCCTGAAATTACAAACAAAAACATTAACAATTTTACAGTATGTATCTAATTTATTTTTTTAAAAATATTCTGAATTGTTTTTATACAAGTAATCAAGTGTTATTTTTTCAGATGAAACTCCTTTATATGCTAGAAGAGAGTATGTGGTATTGCCCCATTAAAAACCGATACAAATTTCTTTTTTTCTACGCTGGTACTTCAACTATTTCAAAGTAGTTATCTGGCAGAATCACATAACCTCTCTCTGTTACGTCTTTCTCTTTCTGGAAGTGTACAACCTCCTTTAATTTTTCAAGCTGTCGTTCTTGTCTTCTGCATCGCTGCTGTGTCGTCTTGAGCTTCTTTCTGAGTTTTTCAACTTGCTGTTCTAGCTGATGAATCCTTTTTCTCTGGTGCATTGTATCCTCCACAGTATAGTTGTGATCACAGAAAACTGACAGATTATCAGGGGTCTGAAGAGGAGGCATCAGCAATCCAATAGCAGCATCAACCTGGGAAATGGGAGGTGTTAAAGGAGATGGGGGAAGCTGTTCTTGTGGCTCCAGCGGATCTTCCTTCTAAAACAATAATGCAGAGTATGTTTGAATTTAGTAACTAGAAATAACAATTTAAAAAATTTATCCATGGAGTTTAAGAAAATTAGGTTTTTTATATGAATCTTGGTAAAGAAATATTCCAAAATGAGAAAATAGTTTAAGTTTTAATTATACTTTTCTACCAGAAGTAGAAATGGAATACAAGAAAGAAACAGAATGGTAAAATTTAACAAACTACTAACTAGTATTTAAAACTGAGGAGAAAAATACTTTGAAACTGAACTATCACTGATAAAGAAAAAAACTGATCAATATACAAGTAGGTGTATGGCATGATCTTAAAAGTAAATTACAAAGCTTGACTGAGTTTCTTAGTGTTAGGATATTTAACTTTTATAAACTATTTTTAAAAAGAATATCACTGTTAACAGTGGTTATTTACAAGTGGTAGGTTGCAGGTAACATTTGTTTTCTTAACATGACTGAATTTTCCAAATTTCCACAATAAACACATTACTTCTAAAAATAGGGGGGGGGGGAGCCAATATTGAAAAACAGATATTACCTTGTCATGTGGTTCAGTACAAAGAAATATTGTGGGTACAGCATTCTCTTTCAGTAACTTGTTGTTGCACTCCCTCTTAAAGCAATCTGGAGTAAAGTGTTCCGAACAAATACTGCTATACTTGGTGGGTTTAAAGTTTTTTCTTCTGACAGCTGCCTCCCATTCTTTACAAAGACTGGGTCGAGTAAGAGGAAACCTAAAGATGACATAATTCACTTCTATTACCTTACTTTTTATTATAAGGCACATTCAAACTTTCCTGCTTACGAAAGAACTATCTTACATTGGTGTTAACACACTAAGGAGTAATGAAAACACTAGTTCTGCTTTTTTTAAAAAATTACTCGAGCCTTTAAATGTACTTGTTTAAAAGATCCTATAAATAGCCCTGGCTGGTATGGCTCAGTGGATTGAGCACTGGCCTGCAAATCGAAAGGTTGTGGGTTCGATTCCATCTGACACATGCCCTGGGTTGCAGGCCAGGTCCCCAGCTGGGGCCGTGTGGAAGGCAACCAATCCATGTTTCTCTCCCTCTCCTCTCTAAAAATAAATAAATAAATAAAATATTTAAAGAAAAAAAGTATTTCTAATACTTTTTAATAGAGATCTTAGCTAATTATATGGTAGTTATAGGGATGTCAGATATAATGATATATAAATAAGACAAGCTAATTAAGAATTTACAGAATGTAAAAATAAAAGTCATGTTGGCAGATGTGTGCAGTGGGAAAAGTAGGTAAAGAAAGGCTGGGGGTGGGGGCCTATGTGCCTGTACTGTTTTTCCCTCCTCCATTACAGTAAATAACTTTCACAGACAGATACGGGTATTCCACACACATCTAAATACACAAGAGTAAATCATGTGGCTCTCTTACTTCTCTCATGTACCATGGTTTAACTGTTTATATTGAAGACACTAAAAGTGTCAAGTAAAATACATACTATAGGGTGAATTTGTATTATTTTACCAATGATTTTCTGTACACTGTAAAACCAAATTGCACGTTTATATCTACATTCTAAGAAGAAGAAGCTTCTGGTTGTCTCAGAATCAGATACTGTGTAACAAATATGACTTAATCAAATTTCACTTGAATTGCAATGACAAATTTAAAATTTTTAATTTACCTCTTAATCTACTGAAATGTTTGTTAGGACCAGATAAAGGGAGGTAGGAATACTTTAAATTTGCTGTGATTTTATTTTTCCAGGTCAGGGATTTAGTAAGTCGTGGGGGGGGGTTGTAAAGAAGCCAAAGAAGGATGTTTCTACTGTATGTTCCAGTCTCTCTGCCAAAGTATGTCAGAGCCTGGCTCTGCAACTATCCTGAAGTTCTAAGAAATGTTTACGACAGTCCGTTTGTACACTCTTCCCACTACCACCACACAGAAACTAGGGAAACACTCTTAGAAGATCCCTGTCAGAAATGGCTTCTAGAAGCACAAACTGCAGTAGCAATCGCTGGTAAGATTCAACACCTAGGGCTTCCTGACTTGAGGACTACGCTGTTCAGGATTCTGTGAGGTTCTGTCAAGCTCTTTTCCATCTCCTCTCCCGAAGTTGTTCTTCTAGATAAAGGATGAGCTGTAAAAGGTTAGTCCTTCTTTCCATTCAATTGTTTAACAGCCAGCAGAAACTCACTATTTCTGATGTGTGAATGTCCTAGTTTCCCTACCAGTGAAGGGTTTTCCACAGTTGTAGATTCCTTCTGCTGTATCATTAGAATGCAGAGGCGGAAAAGCTGAATGAGTGTGATGGTGTCACCCACAATCTCCTGATTCCCTATGCTGGAGAGATCAATTCATCAGCTTTCAGAAATTCCAATAAATCAAGAAGTAATGTTAAGATATACTGAACTGAATTCTGGAAGTGTTAAGTGTCCTATTCCCTTCTCCGAATAGGAAAATATCAACACTCAAGATCTCCCTATGCATTAAACACTTATTTCTGTACAGTCCTTCTCATACTAGACCGATAATATAAAAATGCACCCGCATCTGTTGTTAAACATAAATGACCCCCACAAAAAATTGAAAAAATTTTTTGCTTGTGTAATTATTTAACTATGAAGAATTCATATAACTTACCACTGGTTCTAATTAATTTCTTATTATTGTTTATAGTTGGGAATTCTTACCAAAAAAAATTCAACATAAATGAAATACAATCTGCAAACACTGAACTGAATTTGGCTGAATAAAACTGCCATCGTGTCACATTTTGAAGACATTTGATTAAGTCATTTCCACTGTGAGGTTTTCTTTTCCAGAAAATATTTTTCCTCTAAGACTAACTGCAGTACCTTTTGGATAAAACAGTCCTGAAAAATGTGGGGCAGGTTCTTTTCCCACTATGCACCAATAATAGCTCATATTGACCTTTATTATGGCACTTGATCATGGTCCGTAATATTAATTCCCATGTCATCATTATTGTGTGCTGCAAACATAAACTATTTGTCTTAGCAGTACTAGAAACTGTCTCAAACTTAAGAGGTCCTTAAAGGTTGGTTCCTAGGAACTTGCCCATACACATCCTCCCTGAAATCCTGGCCCCAAACAGTCCTTAATGATGTTGGCCTCCCAACCACCGCAAGGACGAAAAAGAGAGATTTCTTTTAACTTCAAATTTACTTTTAAAGAGTTATCACCACCCGGCTTCTCCATGACCTGACGGTGAAACCCAATGCCTCTCGGTCTGGAGACCTCAAAACCTGCGGGGCCTTCTGGCATCGCCCGCCCGCCCGCCCCGCACCAGCCAACGACGCATTCGCCTAGCGCTCACGGCCGGAACTCCCGCGTGAGAAATGGTCATCGATAGCGGCGGCGACCCGCGCCTAGGACGCGCAGCCGGTAGCTGGCACCGGCAGGGCGGGGATTCCGACCCTCTGCCGGCTCGCCCACCGCCTAGCCCAGAGTAGACCCCCAGCAGCGTTCGGGTGCACCCCGCCCCTGCCTACACCCCTCACGCTAGGTCTCGCGCGGACACGCGCCTGGATCTGGCTCCGCCCCCGAGCCTAACCGGCTGCGCACCCCCAGCGCGAGCAGCGGCCGACTTCACGAAGCTCGAACAACACATACTTGTGGAAAGAAACGGGCTTATCCTTATCATATCGGTTCTTGCAGCCGTAGGCGGAACAGGACTGCACCATCCTTCCGGTTCTCAGTCGTTTCACTTCTTTCGCCCCAGCAGGCAGGTGAAACTGTTATCAATGTCGCTGCTCTCCGCTTTGACACCCTTGCTTCTTCTGTAGGTTTGGCCAACAATTACAGTGATGACAGCCTTACTTGGGGGGTGGCTGATGTGCCCGTTTTGTTGTTTGCATTAGCAGAACGACCACAACCATCCCCTGACTCCCATCTCCAAGATGGCGGAGGGAGCTTCAATCTCACCTCTCGCGAGGAGATCCTCCCGGCTGTCTCAGATTAGTCTTAAGGTCAGAGGTAACGGTCCCTGGGAAGCAAGCCATTGGCTGAGGCCCGGCGTGTGACGCCACAGGCTTAGCGTCACCGAAGTGGGTGGAGCTACGGCCTTCCGGAAGAGAAAAAGGAACGCCTTGGTGAAGGGGGCTTGGGATTTGGAGTGTAACTGCCCCAGCTTGCTTCGCTCTGGTACCTTTCTTGGGTTAATTTATCAAGGCCTTTTAGCATGGCGTCCACTGGGTCTGCTGGCTTAAAGAAGAACAGGTGTAAAGCTGAAGTCACTGCATCATTGCGCCAATTTCTTTAAAAGGGCAGCCACTGATCCTATGATTTGTAGAAAATGCTGATGCAAAGAATCCATCAGCTCATTAATGGTTGGCGTATAAACTGTTGGCGTCATACTATGGAATACTACATAGCAGTCAAAATAAACTGTGACCCATACTCTATGGATGATTCTTACATGATCTTGATTAAGCCAGAGACAAAATATACATGACTCTTTTTTGTTGGGTAATAAAGTAGGTAAGACTGAAGTCAGAAGAGGTTCCTTTTGGGGAGAGAGGGAAAGAAAGTGGACTTACGGGATGGAGATAATGTGTCTTTTTTTAAAAAGATTTTATTTATTTGTCTTTAGAGGGGAAGGGAAGGAGAGAGGGAGAGAAATATCGATGTATGATTGCCTCTCATGCATCCCCTGCTAGGAACTGGCCTGCAACCCAGGCATGTGCCCTGACTGGGAATCGAACCGTGATCCTTCCTTTGCAGGAGGCCTGCGCTCAATCCACTGAGCTACACCAGCGAGGGGATAATGTGTCTTTTGACTGAAGTGATGGTTAAACTGTGTTCACTTTATGATAATCACATGACCTTTACTAATTTATAAAATGTTTGGAGGGTGCTCTACCTTAATAAGACAGCTTACTAAGCAAACAAGGGCCACATAAGATATGCAAAACTGCCTTTTTTAAAAGAGAGAATGAGGTGTTTCTATGCTCATTTGATCTCATTTGACCCCTTCAATAAATATAGAAAATGAATATATGCCTTAGTTTTGTATGTTCATTTGAGGGAAAGACAATAAATCGGGATAAACTGAATTAAGTGTAGTTAGAAGTTTGATGTTTTTTGGCCCTGGCTGGGTAGCTTTGGGTAGCTCGGTGAGAGGATCGTCCCAGCTCGCCAAGATTACAGGTTCCATCCTCAGTCAGGGCACGTACCAAGAATCAACCAATGAACACCTCGATAAATGGAACAACAAACCATCTGTCTCTCTCCCTCTCTCAAATCAATAAATTAAAAAATAATTTGAAAGTGATGTTTTTCAAAGTCTAATTCATTTACATTTATAACACTTTTTAGGGAAAAAAAGTTTAAACCTTCATATTAAAAGAGCAAGTTTTGTTACAATTATTCTAGGATAAACTTTGTCTCACCTGATAAACTGAAGAAAAGTAAGCCACTTTTTTAACATAGGAGAGTGGTAGGGGCTAAAGATGTTTTTAAACTCATCAATATTTAACAATTTAGATTTTAATTTCTATCCAACTATGCTCTTTTTCTGTAAATAATTTTTATTAAAAAATACCTTAGCATTCATTCTCTCTGGGCCTCATTATCTTCATCTGTGGAGTAAGGTTGTAGGACTAAATGAGGAATTCTTAATTTGGAATCCATAAACGTCCAGATCTTGAATCTCCTGAAAAGGAATCAAAAGTATAGAAACGTGTATAAATGTATTTTGGGGGGGAGCTATCCATAGCTATCATCTGAGAAAACACAAACACCAGCCAATTCATAAGTGTGCTTAACATTATATTCTAGGATTAATGAAATGAAATAAGATTAATTTTCACGTGGATAAAAATTACAGGTTTTCCCTAAGGCCGATTAGAAGAGTGAATGTTTTGATTAGAATATCAGATATTTTTAAATAGTTCAATTTTTGTGCTTTTAAACAAGTTAAAATAGAAAATATTAGATACCAATGAGTTTAAACACCTTTAGCCCTTAGCCCTCTCCTACATCCCGTTTTACATTCCCTTCAAGAGGCCCACACTGTATGCCACAAAGTATAGTGGCATATTCTTTTTACTAGTCTGGTCAAAAGAATAAGGAAACTATGCAAACATACTCCATGTGTTTACTCCTCTCGTGCACCAACGTGGGATATGGACCAGTCAGAGGATGCAGATGGATGAAGGTGACAGTGACTGAAAACATCTCAAATTGCTTGCAGTCAAGGGCTCAATGCTTAATACTTATGTCATGAAAATGGTCTGGTTCTGACAGAACAAAATCTCAAAATTATCTTTATATCTCTGTGATTGTCAACAGCCCTTACTGCTCACTGGGACACAAGTCTTAGGGTTTTTAAACCTTGAGTGCCCTTTCCTATTCTGACCCAGTCCCAGGTTTCTGGGTTGCTCTTTAGCAAAACAGGAGAGCCTGAGTAAATTTAGTGTTACAAAGACAAGGGAAAGAATGTTGATGCAGACATGAGGGCACGGACTCAGAAAAGGTCATTTCAGTTATCAACTATGCAACTTCAGTCATTGAATACACACTCCAAAGAAACAGGGGTGGGGAGTCAGGGTACAGGCCTAGTCTCTAATTAATATTAGGTTACGCAGGTAATTTTCCTCACTAACAAAAACATTCCCACTTTTTACATGTGGAAAATTAATTAGAAGAGTGATGAGATACTGATATCCATTAGTGAAAAAGAAAACCACTGCAACCATTGTATTGAATGCTACTTCAGGAGTTCTGAATTTCAAAGCAAACAGTATCAAAGAAACAGGAAAATAACAGCTACTTTTTAATTTTGGATATATTGCTTTTATTCAAAAGAGTAGGTGTCTGACAAATTCTTAAGTCACAAAGTCTGGATCAAACTGTCGACTCTCTGCAACTCCGTGAGGTAGGCGTCTGCACGGCCACAGCGATGAAGACAGGTCTTTCCTCCCCTATTGCTTCCAGGTGCTGAGAGTGTGGCGGCTGAAACCGCTGCTCAGTGGGCACTGAGAACAGTTGTTCCCTCTGTCTTGTTTTCCGTAAACCTGCCCAGTTACTTGCTCCCAGGATTGGACCATTTGTTTTGATGACAGTTACAACATTATTGTTTAGAAAGTCTAAATTGTTGCTTTGATTTGTATGATCTCACTCTGAATCATAGAAGTATTACTAGGTTGAAAACACTGATTGACTCTTCTTGTTTTAAATGCTCTTGGATACCATCTGCATTATCAGTGATCAATACAGACACATAATAATAAGGTCTACAATTCTGAAACACCCACATGTTCCCTTTTCTATTTAAAAAGACTTCCGATCATACAGTGTTTTTGTATGTTACAAAAGTTGGTGTAATACACTTCTACCAGTAAAGTCTTATAAGGAATTCCAATATTACAGTAAAATTATTATAACTAGAAATGTTGACACTTGAAGCAGAACATGCACAGAAAAAGAAAGCCTTTTAAAAATGCCATTGCTATATAGCCCCACACCAGATCTACAATCGGTAGGAAATGCATTTCTAGTCTGGTGAAAAAATTCTTGCTCCTTAGCTTTTAGAATTGGTAGCTGCAGCTGAAATGTTTTTCTGTGAAGTTTGCCACCCTACTAGATGTTTGATTTGGAAGTGAGGATTTAGGATTGGTGAGGTCTTGATACATCATCTTTTTAGACCTTTCTTTCTTCTTAGGCGTACCTGAGCTATCTTACTCCAGTATGTCCCAAAAGTCTCCCAGTTTCTCTCTAGCTTCGCCTCTTTGTAATAACCCTCACATTTACCTGAACCCCATGCAGGAGTTCTGTTAAGTCCCATACCAGTTCAGTCACTTATATCCGGATGGTTTCAGAGAAAACAAAAACCTGTCACCAGTAACAGGGATTTCACCTGTGAAAAGGAAGACACCTGCTTTCTTCACATAACTGTCTTCTGCATAAAATGGAAAGTATGCGAGAAACTGCTGTAGTTATAATGTGCTGTATTTAAGCATTATTGTTTTTCTCTCTAACAAGCAACAGCTTTGTCCTAGGCCCAAATGAGAAAACACTACTACTGATATTTTATTCAGCATCTTACCAGTCGATGGCTAATCTAATTTGGGAGACTGCGATAGATTTGTTCTTTTTTTGGCCTATCTATACATAGGGAGGCTCACTAGCACGTGAATGGACGATATGACCACCAGGTGACAGAGCTAATGGCCCTGGGCATGAACAACCTCCCTGCTGTCCAGTTTGCTAGTGTGTAGTGCCAACTGAGGGAGCTGGGGTTTCATAATACTTGTGGTTTTGGTTCTTTTCAAACAAAAGTGCAGAAGAGAGCGTTAGATACTTATGCTGTAGCCGTTAAAAAAAAGAAATCAATATAAACTTCCTATTGAATCACACCTGACATTTTCTTATTCTGCACCATCTAGGGACAGCATTACAAATTTTCTGTCAAGAGAAAATGAACCAAATTTATCCATTCTGTTATTCTAGTTCACCATAATTTCTCTTGTCAAACTTAAAAGTCTCCCTAGTACTATCCTAATACCCTTTTTGATGCCCAAGCCATGAAAAACCACTTTCCTCAGAAATGCATCAAACTATTTGTTTACAGTATTGCCCAGGTTTCTGAAAAAACATTCCTTTTACAAGTTATTTTAATACACTGTTCCTATAAAAGGACCAAACTCTGGTTTACATGCCATACTGAGAACATAAGCATGCTGACTGGACATGAATGTCTTACACCTTGTTAATTCTCCCAGTGTTCTGTAAACCAGAATGTGAAATCAAATGATAAAGTTCAAGGTTCTGCGTTCACTTTCAGCTGATAACAAAGACTTATATCAGAATGGAAAAGCAGAACTGCTCCAAATGCACAAAACTTAGTACTAAAAGAAACACTTTTCCCCTGGTACTGTGCAATATTTTATTGTAGCAAAAATATTTAGATGAATCTCATTGCAATATATTATCATACAGGTGCTCATTGAGAAGGGAACATTGCGTAAAGTGTACATGTAACACTACCTTACTACACATCCCATCAATCTGAGTAATTTGGGGGAAAAGAAAGATATGAAAGCATCCCTTTTTATACAATTCCATGTTTTTTCCAGAGACTTAACAGACAACACAGTTAAGACACAGTTGTAAATTATTAGAATTCTAACCTCAATATCAGAACCTGCAACATGTAAAAATTCCAGTCATATATTGCTAGGTATTTGCCAAATAATAATCAAATGTCTGTCATACAGCGGTCTTCAGTTTGTAAGATAATATTCTAACGCTGTATGCTACCATGGGTCCTTTTTTTTTTATTTTACACATTAGCTCATATTTTAGTAAACTTTTTTTTCACCTGTTTAGTCTCTGTGTTATCACTTCTCGATACATAATAGAGATGTAGATAAGCAACAAAAAGATGACAAAGAAATCATCTAAAAAGCCCAGAATTCCAAACAAGGCTTCAGGTACAAAATCTAGAGGTGATATAAGATAGAAAAAAGCTCCCATTAAACAAAGTATTATCCTGATACGGAACATCCAGAAAAGGCCACCGACCGAAAACATTTCCCTGAACGCATGCCTCAGTAAAGTGGGTAGATCCATAATTCTTTCCATAATCTGGTAGGGGAAAAGCAAATATTAGGATTTGGCATCTAATGTGTCAGACTTTCAAATAACATAATTTTCTTACAATTGTGCAAAGTTAACATGAATTAAGTTTTACCTATTGTTTGACCATCATTTTTTCTAGTTATTAATTTTATTTTAAAATAGTTCTTTGAGTACTAGCTTCTTATAAAATAGGTTTTATTACAGACAATTGAAAAGCAACTAAAATGTCAGCAAACTTAAAATATAGGACATAATAAATGCAAGTTCTAATTTAAGTTAGTAAAATAAACCAAATCAAGAACCTGCTGTATAGGATTAGAGTCTGAGGCTTGAGCTCAAGTCTCAGCTTTAAAGTCAGAGAGATCTGGGTGGGCCCTAGCTGGTGTGGCTCAGTGGATTGAGTGCTAGCCCGTGAACCAAAAGGTCACTGGTTTGATTCCCAATCAGGGTGCATGCCTGGGTTGCAAGCCAGGTCACCAGTTGTGGGTATATTTATCAATGTATCTCTCACACATTCATGTTTCTCTCCTTCTTTTTCTCCCTCCAATACCCCCTCTAGAAATAAATAAATACAATATTAGAAAAAATTTCTGAAAAGTCAGATCTGGGTTTGAATACAAAATCAATTACTTATTAGCCAGGTGACCTTGGGGAAAGTTGTTTAACCTACTAGAGATAAGTCAACAATTAAGTATTTATGTACCAGGAGGACTTTCAAAAACTGAAAGAGATAGTGTATATAAATGACCTTTATAAGTTGCCAGACAATATATTAGTATTACACATTAAAGACATCAATATTAATGACAGTCTAAGAATAGCAATGAAACTGATCCCTTCTGAGGATGTTTATTCTGCGTAGCTAGAATTTAAGCAAATTCTTAATTGCTACAAAGATTTTTGGAATGCCAAGTGCTACCTTTTTTAAAATTATAAGTTCTAAATATGTACAGAAACATAAATTACTAGGCTTTTACATAAATGAACATAATTTTCACAGCTGAACTTTAACAAAGACATATATTTAAAAATTATCAGATATGGGAAGCAAAGAAAATTATAAGATATGGAGGCATTGGAAAACTTATACACTGTTGGTGCAAATGCAGAGACCCTTAGGAAGCAGTCTGGCAGTTCCTTAAAATGTGAAACAGGGTTACGACAACATCCCGCAACTGCACAGCGAGGCACGTACCCAAAGGGAATGAAACATATGTCTACCCAAACACTGGTACAGGAGTTCATGGGAGCATTATTTACAATAACCAACAAATGGAAACAACTCAAATGTCCATCAACTCATGAATGGATAAACAAAATGAGATCGCTTTGTCCATAAAAAGCAATGGAGTACTAGCATAAGTGATGTTGTCAGTAATGTTCTAGTAATTATGTACAGTGTCAGATGGGTACTAGACCTATAGGGAGATCACTTTGTAAGTTACATTAATGTATACTCACTATATTGTACACCTGAAACTAATATAATATTGTATGTCAACTGTAACCGAAAAACAAAAACAACAAACGCAATGCAGTACTAAGGTATGTTACAGCATGGATGAACCTTGAAAACATTATGCCAAGTGAAATAAGCCAGAGACAAAGGGCCATGTATTGTATGATCCCATTCAAATAAAATGATGAGATATCCAGAATAGCCACGTCCATAGAGATGGAAGGCAGATCAGTGGTGCCAAGGACTGGGGGGAGGGGCAGGGACAGGGGAGCAAGGGGAGGAACTGCTAAAGCTTTTGGAAGAATGAAATGTTCTAAAATTATATCATGATGGTAATTCGATTATATTTACTCTAAATGTACTATAAATCATCGAACTGTATACTTTAAAACATGTATGCTTATGGCATGTAAATTACATCTAAGTAAAGCTATTAAAAAGAAAAGATAGTACCAGTATCTAACAGGGTGGGGCAAAAGTAGGTTTACAGTTGTGAGTAAATAAAATGTATCCTTTTATTATTATTAATTAATTACTGTATTTTTTCCATACAAACAACCGTAAACCCACTTGTATTTATATGACCTTGAGTGGGTCAGTTACTCTCTGACTACAGACTTCTCATCTGTTCTGCATAGTTGTTCATTGGCTACATGATTTCAGCTCCCGTGTAGTAATGACCCATCAGGACTCTTCAACATATCTTACTTTTCAGAAGTTGGCAGATACAAGGCAAACTGACTGGAGGAAGTAAATCACTTCCTGTGGTCATTCCACTGCCCACAGTTCAGCTATTTTTAACAATCTGTATAAATATCATAGATCCAACTCTATGTATATACTGACTGATTTAACAAATGCCAAATAAATTGAGGAAGATGGAGACAAGAATGGGAATTGAGCAAGTGATGAGAAAATAGTTTTAAAAACACAAGGTAAAGAAAATCTTATAACTCCTTTTGGAAGACTAGCCAAATGAACAGAAATGGTCTTTTTAGAATCATTTCCTATATTAACTTTCTATTCCCAATGGAAGAAACTAATATTTAAAGCAAAACAGCTATACGGTTTTCACAAGGTCAATGGTAAATTACTTTATAAATATTCTAAAAATAATTTTCTGTCCATTATCAGCTATTTTTCACTGCTCATGTGGTATTATTTATTCAAGATCTATAATTAGACAAGAAATATGAAATGAGTTACTAAGAAATGTTTGTGTATTAATCACAATCTTACTGAACTTTGAGGCAGAATATCAAAGTAAGAGCTAACTGTCTTTATTATAGTGTAACATCATCACATACTAAACTTTCTTACTTGTTAACTATAAATTTGACACACACACAAAAATAAGAACGGAGCAATGGTATGCTTCACACTTAAAAATATGAATGAATATCTTAAAATTATTATTATCTTTAAGGTCAGTGGCAGATCTTTGATTGGAAACCCTGATTTCCAGCGACTCACACTATGGCTGTTACTGGGGGGTGTGTTACGAAAATGGCTGGATGGAGCAGCTATGGAAGACAACAGTGGCTGGGTTACATTGCTCTTGTGCTCACACATCTAAAAGATTCACCCATTATCATTCACAATGGATGAACTGTACCTTTAAATGTTCATGACATTACAGAATGAGGAATACAAGCAAGGGAGCACAGAGCACGGCTGTGTATTACTAAAACATTTTAACAGCTTGTAGTCTTGTCTGGGAGCAGTAGTATCAGTTATTATCTCAAGGATAGTTCATTAATTTACTCAGCACACACTGAGTGCCTACTACATCCCAGACACTGAATTTCACAATGAGAATTTGGTACTGACTAAATACACAGTCTTTGCTCTCATGATGCTATTAGCCTATGGAGAGCAAGCCAGTGAACTAGGTTTGAGTGCTGTTTGACAAATGCTAGGCAGAACACGTGCAGAGGGCGACAATGGAGAACACGGAGGTTGTCGGGGAAAGCCTCTGGGGGAGGCTTATTTTCCAGCTGCCTAAAGGATGAGAATCACCCATGAGGAAAGCAGAGCGACAAGCGTTCCAAACAGGAAATGGCACAGGTGAAGGTGTATGTGGAAAGACTTGGAGCTTTTCTGCGAGCTGAAAGGCCAGCGTGGCTGAAGTGCGGTGGGGCAGGGGGAGAGTGGCACAAGATACTGGGGGGGGGGGGGGGGGGGGCAGGTCCCACAGGGCCTTGTAAGCCACAGCAAGGAGCTGGCACATTATTTCAAAAAATTGCAAGTTTTAAAACTCAAGAGCATCATGGCCTTACTTATTTTCAAAATATCACTTGGACTGCCACACAGAGAAAAAAGTCAAAAGTGAAGAGGCCATGGCAAGTGTCCTAAGCAAGAGCTGATGGTGACTTGGACTGATACAATGGCTCTACAGACACAGGACATTTTTGTGGGGTAAAAATGATACGACCCCCCCCCCCAAGAAAAGGAATGGTGCAGCTTATAGATCAGATGAGGGGAACGGGGGAGAGAGGGAGTTCAGAAAGACTGAGAAAAGAGTTCACTGCGCTGGGGAGGGAATCAGCTTCACATTATACACGTTAAGTTTGAAAGGCCCAGGGGCGTCCAAGTGGAGATGTTGTAGGCTGAGCAGCTGGATATGAAGTCTAGAGCTCGGGGCAGAGCTGGGTTTTCCAGGTACTAAATTTGTACTCAGTGTGGTCCGGCTGTTGAAATACATATCCAGCCATACACATACTTGTAGAATTTCTTTCTCTATTTGGTAAAACTGGAATGAGATAATAAAATGTGACAGTTTTCAATCTACCAAATGCCTTTTTTTAGGGGAGGGGTCAACTGTAGAATTAAGGTTATTAAAAAGAGAGTGATTTGAATGGCTAAGATGACATACAGGGTTACTTAAGGGAACATTTCAAAAAGGGACCAAGGTTAACAACTTAGAGTAAAACAGAACTGTAAAACTCTCGCCAGAAGTTCTCAGGTGCTTCTCATGAAATCAAACCCTATTTTACAATCACATAGGAACTGATCATTTTATCTTTACCTCAGATTTTTCCTATTGGTTTTTTGCTGGTGCCTCTTCATAAATGACTTTTATAATGCCGTTTTTTTACTGCCATCCTTGGGAAAGCCGTAACTCAGTGAGTGACAATGGTGATGGAAGGAAGGACTTCACCCCACACACATGGACAGTGAGGTTTCTCCAGTTGAAGAATATTTGTTGGTAAATCTCACTCCACAAAAGGGAAGTCTCATTATACTGTAACTCTGTTCCCTTTAGCTTTGTACCTGCTATAACTTTACTTACAGATCTGGGCTGTCCTGAGAATCTCCGGTTATAATCATTAATATCTTGATGCAATGATACAACATCCTGAGACTGGTCATTTTCACTAAATACTGGTAGCAGTAAAGTTACCTGTTTAATACAGAAAGAAAAATTGTTATCCCTTTCTGCAGCATTAGTCTGTTCATTTTGTGTTATTCAATAAAACAAGGAAATCGTCTGAATTTATATTTCACTCATTTCCTTTAATTAAGGCAACACAGGGGAGGAAAGTAAGATTGCTGCCTACAATGCAATCTAATGCAAATGTAATTTGAGCATCTATAAAATTAAAGGGGCACGTTATCCAAACACTGGTTTTAATATTTCCCAGTCCACACCAGGGAGAAAGTCAGTAATTCTCTACAGTTCAGGATACAAGAATGAAGGGAAAATGTTCAGGAGCAAAGTCACTGCTGTTGGAAACATCTTTAGATGTTACTAACCACAACACAGACATTAACTCAGTGCAAGGACTGGCTCTCGAGCACCTAGTCCTAGTGTGATTTTAAAAAAGTAATTCTTTTTTTCTTGTTCTGACGTTTCTTTTTTAAGTATATTTTATTGATTATGCTATTACAGTTGTCCCAATGTTTTTATTCCCCTTTATCCCCCACCCCCCAGTTCATGTCCATGGGTTGTACAAATAAGTACTTTGGCTTCTCTATTTCCTGCCAATGGGAGGTGATTCTTAACTTTCCTCTGTCCATTTCATGCCTACCAATTGTGTTTCTTATTTGCTGTACAGAAAAGGTAATTCTTAATACAGTTACATACTGTAATACATTAAACCCTTTTTCCTCCATGGTAGTGGTAAGGATACACAAATGTCCCAGGACCACATTCGGGCAATCTGAAGATGACAGACCATGAAAAGCCCTGACAGAAATGGTCACTGGACAATGAGATGGAGGTGGGAAGGGAAATTGACAGACTTAGGGTTAAACCATCGAGCTGTTGCTTTAGCCCGTCCTCAGTTAGGCTGTAAAACCCGGGCTGCCCATTTCTCAGATGCTCTCCGAACAGCCAAAACAAAGGAGTGCACACACTGTTGACTCTTCGAGCATTTGTTGATAAAAATGCATTATTTCAGCAAGTATTACTTGAGCGCCTGCTGTGGACAATGCGCTGTGCTAAGGGCTTGATATACAAACAAAATTTTAAAAATAATAAAATAAAGGCGTGGCCTTGCCTGTTGGTGATCAAAATCACAAGAGAGAAGGGGAGGCAGACCTGTGCAACATCCTGTTCTGAGGTGCTTTAATGGTACTTCAAAGTAAGGACCCCTCCCTAGGCTGTTCAGAAAACTTAAAACTTAAGCTAGCCCTTGAAGTGTAGGTTGGTGTGTCAGGCATGTATTCATGGAGGGAAGTGGTGCGTGTGTCCTCATCAGAGACGTCGGCCTGTGCATCGTTATTTCCAGTGAAACAGGAGGGGAGGCAGGTATCTGACACCTGTCTTGCCTCTGGGATGAACTGCTCTACAGTTAGAAAACCAAAAGCTACTATATTAAAACTTCGTCTTCACCTTTCTAGCCTCTAGCCAATTTACAGGTGGTCCAAAGGTCACTGCCTGATAAATTTATACAACCCTATGAAAAGCTGTAGGTGGTGGAACTAATTCTTTTTTGTTTTTTTGGAGAAAGATAACAGTTTTAATTTGGGACTAGTTGAATTTAAGATGCTGGTGAAATATCCAAGTGGAGGTGTCTAGAATATGACTGAAAAGTCAGTTCTGAAATTTGGGAAAATTTTCAGAGTGAGAAATAAAAAATTGCAAAGACAACTGTATTAGTTTCCAAATGCTGCTGTAACAAGTCATCACAAACTCGGTGGCTGAAAACAAGGCAAATGTATCATCTCCGAGTTTGGGAGGTCAGAAATCCTAGTATCGAGGGGCAGGCACGGCTGTATCACCTACCTCGCAGGGTGTCCAACCTCTTGGCATCTCTGGGCCCCAGTGGAAGAAGAGTTGTTTTAGGGCACACGTTAAACACATTGTAACACATAATCACAAAAAAGGTTTTGTTTTTTTACATGTTTTATGAAAATCTATGATTTTGAGTTGGTCCACGTTCACAGCCATCCTGGGCTGCATGTGGCCCCCCTGCTGAAGGTTGGACACCTCTGTGAGACCACAGGGAATATCCATTTCCACATCTTTGGTGGCTCTAATTCTTTAACGCAAGACCTAGGCCTGGGCTCAGTGTGGCTGGCAGATAGCTACAAATGATGAGGTGGTACTGGCAAATAAGTTTTAGTGCTGACTGCTTTTTGTCACATATAAAATCACTCAGAAAGGCAGTACACCCCCCCAAAAAACAGTATTTCCTCCCGACCACATGATAAGGAGTCAAATGTGAAAGAAACAGAATTGGGGAATGTAGAAGGAAGAAGAGAAAGTCCTGAATCTTCACCAAAAAAAAAAAAAAAGGCAGTGATGGGGGGAAGTAGGTAGAAAAAGGCTGAAAGGCATATACAGGTGTGGGCAAGAGTCAGTTTATGGTTGTGAGTACATGAACGAGTTTATTCTTATATTATCATTCTTGTATTATTATTTATTAATTATTGTCTTATTGTCTGTATGTAAACCTACTTTTGCTCATCCCTGTATATCTGTGTGTGTACATTTAACAATATATAACGTATGGTTTTATTTACATAAAGTCTAAATATCAGACAAAACTAAACAATCGTAGGGGTGTATACTAAGGTAATAAGACTATAAAGAAAACCAAGGAAATGCTTATCATAAAAGTGAAATAGAAATTACCTACAGGAGATGAAGGAGTGAAGATTTGGGCAGGGTCCTGAGGAGGCTTCTGGGGCTGATGGCCAATTTCTGTTTCTTCATCTGAGTGATGACTATTCAAGTGTTGCTTTGTGATAATGCAATGAACTGCACTTCTCTGTTTTGTGCGCTTTTCTGTGTGTCCATTATATTTTACAAAGAATTTTTGAAAAATTGCCACCTCTTCTACCATTTTTTTTTATTTTTTGGTCTCTGCGGGTTTATGCCTTTATATAATGTCCTTTACTGTCATTTTAGTGAAGTTGTAAGAGGGAACAGTAGTGAACATATGCATCCAGTCTGACATATTTACTTGGAAACCATCCATTTTAGGATTTTATTTTGCTTACTGGAAGATTTCCTGGGGAGATGCTGTCTTTTTACATGTTCGTAACTCATGATCAGAAAGGTGTACGTATATTTTTAATTTAAGTGGAACATAAAATAACTATAAAGGAAATTATGAAAAACTACACACAGCTGAGAGAATGTCAGTGGACTGAGTTTGTTTTCCCTGTCTCAAAAATAAATAAAATCTTTAAAAAATAAAAATAAAAAAACTAAGAACTTCAGTTTCTCAGATTTTTCAGTTATAGTGCTTTTTCCAGCAGGTAAAAGAAATTGAGAAAATGAGGCAGTCCCAACTGTGCTGGCATTTCAGTCTTCGATACATAAAAATGTACTGCCTCCACCCTCAGGTAGCTTCTAGATGGACTACAATGGTCAAATCTGTTCTGGATAATTCAGTGTGATTATGTTTCAAAAAAAGATTGAAAAATTATTATTCATTATTTAAAGCTATCTTCCTTACTAGAGAGGAAGATAAGTTAAAAAAGAAAACCAATTTTTTTCAAAAGTAGTATAGGGGATGTTTGCTAAAGCCTGATTCGCCAGTTCAGTTATTCCTTTGCTTATATTACAGCAAGACTTTAGAGGGTTTGGGAGAGGGTTCATTCACCATCTGTTTTTCCTACAACTGAAGGATTTCAAAAGAAATTCCCTTTTTTGAGGTGTCTTAAAGACATTTAAAAAATAATGTAACATCACAGAAGCTTTGGATAAAGGAAATTCTGCTAAAAATATCAAAATAATTCATAAGTCAGATACAGAAACTAGAAAGATTTACAAAGTGAACTAGCATTTATGATGCCTTCTGGATACAAACATTACCGTTTGTCTACAGATTGGACAACTGATGGCCCCAAGCCATGAACCATATCGCCAGTACGCAATAATGCAGGTACCTGATGGGGAAAAAAAATTAACACTGATGTTTTAAATATTTGAAATATTTTAACACTATCACCTGATAATTTTTTTTTACTTTATCCAGCATCTCTTCAGGCAAATTTAAATCTAATAACAATTCCTAGCTATTGAAAAACATTTTTATTTAAACTGCCAGTGAATATACAGATATTTTTAGATAAAACCAAGCATGCATTAATTGCTTCAGTGCTGTGAGGCTTCCTAGAATATAATGCATTTCTTATGTAAAATGAATAAAACATAATTGTATAAATGATACCAACAAATCACAGTCTAAATTTTCTATTTGAAATTATATATGTTACAAACACACAATTCCTTTTTTATGAGTTTAGAGAGCCAAGTTATGTAAGTACACACAGCCTCAGGCAGCAGTAGGTGAGCTAAGTGTGGAAGCACTAAATTTTAGACCAGAAACAAATGAAGAAGAAAAAATTTGAAACAGTGTGTGATGTTTAAGGGACCGATTCACCTTCCTCCTGCAGAACACCTGTTTCTCAGACCATCCAGGTCTCATCGTGAATCTGAACTAAGTGCTTCCTGTCTCCCTCCTACCTCCGGGATTTTCTGTGTTCTTGCTTTAGCAACCTAGCTTAGCCCTCCTATGTTCCTTATTCTGGTTCTTCCAGATCACATAAATGTCCAGAATCCAGAAGAAGCAATGGCAAAGTGAGGAAAACCAAGGTAACATAGTTAAGTCAATCTAACAGTACTTAGTTAGATCTTGGACTATAATGTTAAGTACAAAAGGGGTGCAGAGAGGGAGAGCTCTCTGGGATGTGTTACAGATGTGCAAAGCAGACAGTATTTGAACACTGTGGGAGAGCAAAAATTTAGATAGGCAGAATTCAGGAGGAAGGACGCTCCAGGTTTTATGAACAGCAGGAGCAAACGCCAAAGGCAAAAATAGATGGTAAGTGAGGAGACTAGTGAGCAAACTGATGGGCTGAGCGAAGGCTGTCCAAACTGGACATTACAGTGGCTATGGGGAAAGCTGGTTCAACAATTTAACGATGAATTAAAAAGCTAAACAATCTTTATCTGATATTTTCCCTACTCTCAGAGTGCTATGTTAATTAGAAAATATTAAGTACTTTGAGCAATCTAATTTCATATAGAAACTATGTAAAAACAAAACTTATTATAAATCTGTTAGTATTATTACCACTTGTAAAGATGGCTTAGATTTATCTAGTATGTTCTAACCCAAAAGTTCAGTGTGTTTTGACATGCATGAACTTATCTAATCTCACATCCCTTTTCCACAAATTGGGGTATAGGTGTCCTTGCTTTGCAGATTATATAACATCCACTTGCCTGCACTGAGAAACTATGGTCCAGCAAATTAAACACTTCAGTTCCCCTGCTAGGACATGCTTGGTGCTTTTCCTTATCCTCAATTTTCCCCTCTTTAAAAAGAGAGATCCACCTACACAGAATGGTGGAGAGATGACTCAATGACTTTAAACCTGAGCCACAATTTCTCTAAATTTGTTTATTTGTAAAATGGGAATAAGACCTCATGAGACTGCTGGAGAATTAACTAAAATTATGAGAGCTACCACTGCCAGTAGGATGAAGTCTGCTGCTGCATTATTTTTAACTCACTGTGAAGGGGCTGACTAGTTCTGTATATAGGAACTGAGCTAAAGTGCTCTCGATATACGTGCTATCAATATACTTAAATACCATTCAAAGACACGCATTTCTGTTTACTGAGAAGTTGAATAACTAGTTTTTTTAACCTCTGAACCAACAGACAGTAAATAAAAGTGTCTTGACAAGTAGAGCAGGGTATCAGAAGCAATCTACCCTATTACCTCAGACCCAAAGGTAAAACCAAGAACACAATACAGCCATCTTTCAATTCACTGGGTTGTCCACCCAGAGAATTACTTGAGCCTGGGTTGGCAAAGAGTTCAGCTCGCCTGCCAAACCCCAGTGATTCCTAACACTGGCCTGCAGGACGGTCGGGTCCACATCTGACTCAGTGGCCAACTGATTAGGAATGTCCACCAGGGGTGTGAGAGTGGGGGGAAGTATCTGCTTTCTCTGATGGCCATTTAATGCTCCCTATCTGATCTTTCATTATTTTCCTCCTCATTAGCATTTCCAACAGATAATTACAATTTGTTAGCTACTTCGGCATAAACCTTAGGAAAGAGGGTGGAATTACTAGCTGAGGCAATAGTGGGGTTGGTCAGTACTTACTTAACAAGCACAAAGTACTGAGAATCCTGGATTTCAAACACAAATGTCATCCCCAGCAGCATAAACAGTAACACTATATACCTAAGAATTCTGTATAATGAGTCTCAGACAAAAGTAATTTATAGGGTCATTGTAGGCTCCATTTCTAATTAGTCTCTACATGGAAATGGTGTACATTTTGGGAACGACAGAACCCTATCTTAAATACAGCTGTTCAAACACAAAGAAACACTACAATAAAACACTGGATAGATCTTAAGTGGAGGGTAGTTGTATAAGCCACCGATCAAAGAATAGAACTGAACACAGGGTTTGAAGTTAGACCTAGGTTTAAAACCTGCCTCTGTCCCTTGGCGACTGGATTACCCTTTGTAAAATTTCTTAACATATCTGAGCCTTGATTCTGTGGGGTTAGATGAGATGAATTACGGTAAGTGCGTGATAACTGACCCTCCCCAATCTCGTACGACCATAACGAGCAATGATTATCTGGTATCTCATTATTCTCTATGAAATCTTTCTGGAGGGTAGAAAGCACCCTGTACTGACACACTAAATAAGTGTGAATGAAATCAATGTTCCCCTTTTTGTTCCACTGCACACTTTAGGTTTCTCATGCTCCGTCATCAACCCTCTTGAGGTCATGAAGAGAGAGAGTCTAAGAACTTCTGCACTGACTCAGAGTAAGGAAGAGTTAGCAGAGCTGAGGGAGGGCCCTGGGCAGGGTCCTTGAGAAGAAAACCTTCCTGTCTTGGGAAGGTTGAATAATAAATGAAAGTACTAAAAAGTGAATGAACAATGAGCCAGTCAATCCATCCAGGGGTTGAGGTACCTGAATTACTATTCAAAGAAACACATTTCTGTATACTAAGAAGTTGAATAACTAGTTTTTTTAATCTTTGAACCCACCGGCACTAAATAAAAGTGGCCAATAAGTAGAGCAGGGTATTAGGAGCAATCTATACTACTCATGAAACACAAAATATGACAAAGAGAAAATCAGGAATCCAGCCTATGTAGACATGCGGGTCTTGGTGCAAAGAGTCACTATTACCAAGTGCAGCACCGTTTGCTTACCACAGAAGAGATGTCCACAGTTTGTTTCCACGGGGCAGGAGGCTTGATGTAAACAGATGGGACAGTACATGTCGGTATAAAACTGCTGTCGAGCAGTGGCAGGTGCATCCTGATGAGAAAATACGTGTACACAGTTATACACGTGACACACCAGCTTTTCAAAGCTATCTTTCTGGTAAACTGTAGTTAGGAATACAGTCAGTGCTGTGTAATCCTCATTGAAGTTTAGATTTGCAACAGTTTAAGATCTTACAAGTTGGATACAGTTATGAGGCTATATTGTGGTTTTATCTATAAACTGTATGGTCTCTACCTTCCTTTCCAAACACAATCTAAAGATTAAAACCTAGAGTAACTCAGGAGTTCCTTTTTACTCTGTTAGAATGAATAAGTTATTCTGAGTAACACAAGGCTGAGCTAATCCATAACTAAAGAATAAGAAATGTCAAACTGTTTCTGAACTTTTATTAACTTTTTTTTTACACTTTTAACACCTTTTTCATTCATACATTCCTGGCAAGTGTTACATGTATGCTATTCCTTATAAGAAACCAGAATTAAACTTTCAGAGAAGATTATTTGGTCATTTTGGAAGTAGAAAAATGTAAGGCCACTGCTAATTTGAACTTGATACGTCACATAATCCAATTAGTAAATTTAATTGCTTCTTGGTAAACATCACTGTTTTGAATATAATAAGCATGTTGAATAAAATCATCAGTACAAGAGGCATCCAGTTATTGAAGAACCCACATTCCACCAGAATGTGAGTACAATGAGGCCAAGGACTTTCTCGTAGGACTCACTGTAGTAGAATCCCAGGAACTAAAAGATTATTTATTACTACTATGAAATGTATATCTTTAAATACTTAGCAAAAGTTTTTATAGTACCTGACACACATGTTATAAACAAAGTAGCTGGCATTTAAAACATCACATTACAGGGGGCGTGTAGGGGAGGGGAGAGTGATAGGGGGACAAGGGGTACAACTGTAATTGAACAGCAATAATAAACAAACAAACAAACAAATAAATAGAAAAACATCAAATTACTGCCCGGCCAGGTAGCTCAGTTGGTTAGTGTAGTCCCAATATACCAAAGCTGCAGGTGTAATCCCTGCTCAGGGAACATACAAGAATTAACCAATGAATGTATAAACAAGTGGAACAACAATTAGATATTTCTTTCTCTCTCTTTTCCTTCCTCTCTCTCTCTAAACATCAATAAATAAAAAATTAAGCCCTAGCTGGTGTGGCTCAGGGGACTGAGCGCCAGACTGCAAACCAAAGGGTTTCCAGTTCAGTTCCTGGGTTGTTTTTAAAGACAGCACATGCCTGGGTTGTAGGCCAGGTCCCCAGTGGGGGTTGCGTAAGAGGCAGCCACACATTGCTGTTTTTCTCCCTCTCTTTCTCCCTCCCTTCCCCTCTGTCTAAAAATAAGTAAATAAAATCTTAAAAAATAAAAATAAAATTTAAAAAAATTACCAAAATAAAAAGTATCAAATGCACTAAATATGAACTAATATAAAGTAAATCAAAGATTTTGGCCACCACAAATTACTATACCATAAATCCCCTATAATAAAACAGTTCTAAAATGCCAGAATAGCCTATAAGCCAAGGAGACACCTCAATGCTGTAGCCTTTTAGGTCATTTTTTTAATGGTGCAAAATGAAAAACTTACAGCACTTACTGTTCCTCTCTGTTTTTTTTTCTCTTCATTATTATTCTTTGGAAATTAACTGATGAACAACCAATTACCAGTGCTGTCCAACAGAACTTTATGCAATGATGGGAATTTTCTTAGTTTGTGTTGTTCAATATGTTAGCCACTTGGCTACTGAGTACCTGGAAAGTGGCTAATGGGACTAAAGTAGTGAATTTTAAATTTTAGTTAATTTAAAACTAAATAACTACCTGTGGCTAGTGAGAACCATATAGGGCAACATGGTACAGGCTAACTAGCTTTATTCTCACTAGAGCTATATGCCATGGCAAGGGAGGTGGGAGGCAGGTGAGTGGGACAGTGGGACAAACAACTAGAAGACCCCCTCAATCTGAGACTCCGTGTGTCTAGATCTAGTCATGTAATCCTAGAGTGAATTTAAGAAAGTCTTAGTGAGCTACTATGTTAGAAGAGGATAATAATCGTTGCTTTACTTACTATGTTTGAGGATTAAATAAGAGCAGTATGTGAAATCATTTTGTAAATTATTAAACACTATCTAGGCATGAATTATTGATAACAATCACTCTGGAAGAGAGTACTACTAACATACTTAAACTATTTTTGCATCAATGAATTTAAGTTCTATGATGCAGGAATTCTTGTTTAGTTGACAACTGAATTCCCAATTCCTAGAACACTGTCTGGCATATGGTAGATTTTCAATAAATATTTGGTAAATAAATAAATGATATGGGTAAAACTTTCTTTGGCATTAAAGTCTGATTGGTGGTTAGGAAATCAACTTTTAAATTTGTTTCTTGATGTTAGCTACCTTGGCATGAAGGTGTACGATACCCTACTTAACCCAGCCTTCACAAAATGTAACCCAGTATTATGTTGCTGGTTCTTAGAGAGTCCATCTGGTTGAAAGCAAACAAGAAGCAGATGAGAAAAGTTTTATTTTTTGCCTAACTAGTTTTCTTATCTTTGACCATTGAAGAAAAAGAAAAGGAAAAAAAAGCTACCCTTTATAGTCATTTCTTTATAGGTCCTTGGGATATACATGTTAGAATAGTTTTTCCATGACATTTCACTCAAGCCAATTAGACAGTGATTATTTCCTTACAAGTAAGTAACATAAAAACTGTTGTCTTTAAAAGCAAGTTTAAAAAAATATATGAAAACACCTGCATCGCTTAAGGCTAGTCATTCACCTAACCTGCAAACAAATAATGGGTAGAATAATTTAAGGTAATTTAAAGCAGGAAAGAAGCCCATGTTTCCACAAAGTAGTTTATTAATACTTCACCAAAGTTTTGTAAACAAGGGGAGTAATGACATCTACTTCTTCCGTAAAAGCACGTGTTTACACACACAGTACCTGCTCTGTTTGCAGCTGTTCCCGAAGCACCCTTATTAGTTCTTGGTTTTCTGGGTGAATGTTTTGATGTGCATTTCTGTTGAATAAAACATAATAAACTTTCAATATAAAATATTGTCAGATGATTCAATTTTCTTTATGAGTCCAATTTTAACCTAAAAAAATATGTTACTTAGAACTACTGGTAACTAAATACTTGTAAATGATGGTATACAACTCTACTCCAATTTCAGGACTGAATATTCCAGGCTATTCTGAGATCGTTTATTATTGGCTTATTTCAGGTTTAACTGGCAAATGATGAAATCCAGAGACCTAGCAGCTTAGGGATTTAACGTAATTGCAGACTTACAAATAATAAAAGAACTATTAACATATTTAATTCTTTTGTACAATTTCTTCCAAATAAGCAGCTATGTAATTCTATATGTTATGCATTTGAACACTTTCCCATATCTAATTAGGTCTTCTCCCACCTTTTTAACTATGAGGATACGGAGACAGAGAAAAACAAAAACTAAAATTATATAATGTAGAAATGCCAAAAGCTAACATACCACTAATATCTTAACATTAATAAATACAATGAAAAATTAAAGGCAAGAAGATAGTGACTGATAAAATAGGATGGGATAAGACGTGTGAATACTGAAAATCAGAAGTGATGTTTAGGATGGTAGGGTGGGGATGAAGATTTACATCTGAACCACAGCTTAATTTCACTTAACCATGAAAGTTTTTCTAAACTGAAACCTCTTTAACAGCAGTATTTTAAGTCCACACAATGCCAGTATTACTCTATAGAGGGGCCTTTACTCTCTGAGTGAACCAATATACAACAGCAATAAGAATTCTAGATTAATATCCTAATGGGATAGGGAAAATTAAAGAAATACATCTTATGGTTATTCAAGTTTTAATAAAAAATTTAAATTTCAGAAAAGCTCATAAAATATGACATAATAAAATATGACAGTTCAGAGAGGACATAAAAACAATTTAAAGTCAAATAATCAGAAGTTCAACATAAATGAAATGGAACTACTTGAACTCTGTTTAAACACCTTATTCCTTTCTGGTGGATTATTCATTTGAAAGCGTTACATCTTGTGACTGAATAAATAATTTCTGAAAGAAAGCTACTCTTCGGTGAGAACAATCTATCAAGGAACAGCAGGGGAGCCGTCTCATTTAACACCAGTGAAGACCCTGCTAAATGGCATTTCTCTGTTGACAATGGGAAGCCACTCCCTTGTCATCGGGAGATGACAGTCATTACTTTTCAGAGTACAGATGTAAACCATGTGACTGGAAGGTCTTTTCGTTATTTTCCATCAAAATTAAAACTTTTGTACATCAAAGGACACTGTCAAGAACATAAAAAGACAACAAACCAAGTGGAATAAAATATTTCTAAATCATGTATTTGATAAATGATTAATGCCAGAATACATAAAGAACTCATAACTAAAAAACAAAAAGCAAACAACCCAATTCAGAGACAGGCGAAGGCCTTGGAATAGACTTTTCTCCAAAGAAGACATACAAATAGCCAATAAGCATGGCTCATTATAAGCTCAGCATCATTAGTCATTAGTGAAATGCAAATCAAAACCATAATGAGATATACTTCATACCCATTAGAATGACTATTATCAAAAACCTCAGAAAGTAGTAAGTGTTGACAACCACGCAGAGAAATTGGAACCCTTGTGAGTTACTGTGGGAATGCAAAATGGGGCAGCCGCTGTGAAAAACAGATTGGAAGTACCTCAAAAACTTACGGAATTACCATATAATCCATCAATTCCAATGGAAAGCAGGGACTCAAAAGAGATACGCTGGCCCGGACCAGTGTGGCTCAGTTAGTTGGGTGTCATTGGGCAAAACAAAGAAAGGGCTGCCCATTTGATCGCAGGGCACATGCCTAGGTGGTGGGTTCATCCCTGGTCAAGGTGTGTACGAGACACAACCAACTGATGCTTCTCACATCCGTGTTTCTCTCCCTTTCTCTCACCCTCCCTTCCCCTCTCTCAAAAATTAATTAAATTTTAAAGAGATACTTTTTATACTAATGTTCACAGTAGCATTATTCACAACAGCCAAAGTGTAAGAACAACCCAAATATCCATCAACAGATAGATAAAATATGGTATATATATGTATATATACCACACACACACACACACACACACACACACACACACACACACAATACAATGGAATACTATTCAGCCATAAAAAAGAATGAAATTCTTATACATGCTACACCTTAAGTGAAACTTGATATAAATGGACACAAATTGTGTAATTCTACTTTATGAAGTACATAGAATACCCTAACTCATGGAGATACAAGGTAAAATAAAGGTTACCAGGAGCTGGGGTAGGAATGGGGAGTTATTATTTAATTGGTAGAGTTTCTGTTTGGAATAATGAGAAAGTTCTGGAAATAGACAGTGGTGATGGTCACATGACATTGAGAATATAATTAATGCCACTAAATTGTATACTTAAAATGATAAATTTAATATATATATTTTCCCTACAACATAAAAGTTATAAACTACAGAAAAAAGGCAAAAAGGTTTCTTTCCTTGAATTTTAAACTATACATGCTGTCCCTCCCTCAACTTATCACTAATTGATTACTTCAGCTGAAGTAACAAGATTTCAACAGCCAATTGAGTTTGAATCTGAAAAGCTAGAAAGGAACTTAAAATGACCTCCCACCCAGTCATATGACAAATTCAAGACAATGCCCAAAATGGAGGGCACCTTATAGCATTTGAAAAGTTGTATCTTAGGTTCAACCAAAACTCTCATCAGTTATCTCCCTATACTGGCCCTGTGTGATAACAGAAAATATATATATTGGTCTCTGTGTGAGTCCTGCCAGAGATCCTAAAACCCTTGTTATTGCTTAAGTGATAAGGACACCAGTAGCATCTTTTATTCTAGTATTTGGCCTTAGACCCTGAGTCCCAACACAGGGTTCCTGAAGTGCTTATACTTTCCTGGGGGATAGTCATGTCTTTGGTTCTAAAGAGGTAACCCTGGGTGGGCTCTTGAATGGCTCCTGGGTGCAAACTAGTCACCAGAAAGACTAAGTCATGATTAGAAGCCTGAAATTTTCAGCTGCATACCCTGTTCTCCACAGATGGGGGAGGGGCTAGAAATGGAGACATAACTGATCATGCCTCCGGGAGGAGGTCTCCATAAAATCCCAACAGTAAGGAGTCCGGGGAGGTTCCAGGATGGGAACACGCACCAGGAGAGTGATGGACCCCAGGGTGTAGAGGCTCCTGCAGTCAGGACCCTCCCAGACTTCACCCTAGGTATCCCTTCATCTGGCCATTTATCTGTATCCTTTATCATACCCTTTAATAAATTGGTAAACATATTTCCCGGAGTTCTGTGAGTCACTCTAGCAAATTAACTGAATCTGAGGAGGAGATCCTGGAAACCCCTGATTTGTAGCCAAATCAGAACTCAGGACTGTGGGTAACTGGAGACCGAGACCTACTACTTGTGGTTAACCTCTGCAGTGGGTTAGGAAGCAGTCTTTGGGGACTGGGTCCTTAACCTGGGGGATGTAATGCTATCCTCAGGCAGATGGTGTCAGAATTGAGTTAAGTTTTAAGAGACGCAGCCGGTGTCATGAACTGTTTGGTATGGGGTTTTTACCTCCACACATTTGGTGGCTGGAAGGGAAGTGTGCTGTGTAGAAGTAAAGGAGGCACACAGGAGACAAACACAGTAGAGAAGAACCAGGTTTTTCCTTTACACCCTGGTTCTGCCCTTGAAGCTACACAGAATAAACCTATTTTTTCCTTAACAAAACCAGCCCTCACCACATTTAAAGACAGTTTTTATGCCCTATACTCTTTTCCCCTGAGCTAGCTACCCCCAGTTCCCTCCAGCATTTTGTGTGTCCACAGTTTTACCTGTTCTGATAACCTACTCTGAATTTTTTCCAGTCCAAAATTCTTGACTCAAACAGGATATAATCCAAAATGAACTTTATCTGGTTATTTTGATTAATGCTGCCTAATGGTATTCTATTTTGGCATCTACAATATACAATTGCTTTAATAAATATAAACTTTTACTTTGGGTTTCACATCTTTATTATATTAGCAACAAGTATCCATAGTAAGTAAATCAGAAAAACAAATAAGGGAAAATTAAAATATTTTTACACAAAATTAATCATATTAAAATAATTTTAGTAAAATGAGCTACTGGAGGTTTTATGATTTGTCTTCCACTTAAAAATTCTCACTCAACAATTTAGCATGGATACCTTCAGGTGACAATACATTTTTACCTACATCCCCTCCTTAATAAGTAAAGAACAGACACTTTATTTGTATTTGTCTAGTGATTACCCATTTTAAAAACATCTTTGAGATATAATTGATCACCACAGTCTATTTTAAAACCTTTTCATCACCTCAAAAAGAAACCCTATATACCCTTAGCTATTATCCCCTGCACCCCTATCTTCCATTCTAGTCCTAAGCAAGCATCAATCTACTTTATCTCTGTAGATTTTACTGTTGTGGACACTTATGTGGACAGACTCATATGTGGCCTTTGTGTCTAGCTTATTGTACTCAGCACAGTGCTTTCAAGTTTGATCTGTGATGGAGCATGTATCAGTTTACCATTTCTTTTAATAGCTGAATAATATTCCATTGCATGGATATACCACATTTTGTCCATTCATCTGTTGGATATTTAGGCTCTTTTGGATATTATGAACAATAAGTACTGCTATGAACTCTCCTGTACATTTTTGTATAGAAATATGTTTTCATTTCTCATGGGTATGTATACCTAGGAGTGAAACTGCTAGGTCACATGGTTACAACATGTTTAGTCAATCGAGGAACTCAGTTTTCCAAAGTGGTTGCACCATCTTTGCATTCCCACAAGCAGTGTATGAGGGTTCTAATTTCTCCACATCCTCAATAACAATTATTATCTGACTACTTGAGTCTAGCCATCCTAGTGGATATGAAGTTGTATCTCACTATGGTTTTGATCTGCATTTCCCTTTTGATTAATGATATCAAGAATCTGTTCCTGTGCTTATGGGCATTTGCAAATCTTCTCTGGAAGAATGTCTATTCTGATCCTTTGCCTGTTTATTAATTGGGTTGTCTTTTTATTATTGAGTTTTAAGTTCTTTATATATTCAGATACAAGGGCCTTATCAGCTCTGTGAAATACTTTCTCCCGTTCTGCAGGTCGTCCTTTCAGGTTTTTTTTTTTTTAATACTTATTTATTTTTTTGAGAGAGGGGAAGGGAAGGAGAAAGAGTGGGAGAGAAATATCAATGTATGGTTGCCTCTCATGCTTTCCCTGCTGGGAACTGGCCTGCAACCCAGGCACGTGCCCTGACTGGGAATTGAACCGCAATACTCTGGTTCGCAGAACCGCGCTCAATCCACTGAGCTACGCCAGCCAGGGCCGTCCTTTCAGTTTTTGATGATGTTCTTTGAAGCACGATAGTTGTTAATTTTGATCAGGTCCAATTTATCTATTTTTTCCTTTTGTTGATCATGCTTTTGGTGTCATATCTAAGAATCCTGATGACTTACTCCTGTGTTTCTTAAAAGTTTCAGCTCTTACATTTAGATCTTTGACCAATTTTGAGTTAATTTTTGCACATAATGTGGTATGGATCCAACTTCATTCTTTTCATTTGGCTATCTAGTTTTCCCAACATCATCTGTTGAAATCTCTCCCCTCTGAAGTCTTGGCACCATTATCAAAGACAGGTTGAACACTGATTTATAGGATGGTCCATTTTTAAATCTTGAGTCTATTGTACTAGTACATTAGCTATCCTTCCCAATTGACAACTTAATACGAGTGCTTCTCTTGACATCTTCAACCAAGTTGTTAATAGAAATGAGTAGAACAGGCTTAAGGGCAGAGCCCTGCAATAATTCAGTTTCCTCCTTTTTTGATTTACATTGAAACACTAGTCAGTAATCCTGAGAACAACCTGTCAACCAGTTAAGAATTATACCTGCTATTACCTTGCTATCATTTCCCCATTATGTGAACGAGTATGTCACCAGGTACTATGTAAAGTACTCTGCTGAAATCAAGATAATGTTATCCTAATGGGAAAATCATGCTGACATAAAAGTAAATTACCATTTTTTCCTAAGTGTTCATATTCTGTTTAATAATCCTTTCTATCATTTTTACAGGAAACTCACTGATCTGAAATTTTTGGAATTAATCTTTTTCTATTTTATACTTTTTGCCCATTTCTATTTTCAATGATATATATTTATCCCCATGTGTTAATACTTAAATTTCTAGTTTATTACCTAGTTTCTGTGCATTGGTTTATAGCAGCAATTTTCAACCTTTTTCATCTCAGGGTACATATAAACTAACTACCAAAATTCTGTGGCATACCAAAAACTACATTTTTGCAAATCTGACAAAAAATCGGTATAATTTTGATTCATTCACACTGGACAGCTACTGTTGTGTTGGCTGTTGTCATTTTTGTTTTTAATTTGACAATCTAAGAGAAAAGAAGTCAGTGCCCCTGACTAAACAGTCAGGTGTTGCGTGTTTTAAAAAGTCTTGTGGTGGGCTGGTTTCTGATTCTGTAAGAGTGTTTTTAATTCTAATCTAAATTCCCTCTATACTGTACAAAGATTTTTTGGCCTCAGTTTTTACATTTTACACTGAAAATATAACTTATTTTCACCTGTAGGTGGTATAATTGTTATCTTTATTAATTTGTATGTGATATAATAATACTTATTCAATTATAAAAAATTACATTTTCAAATTGTGATACTGCTATAGAACTATCAATATTTTATTCAAAATACAGAAAATAAATTCAAATTTTATCAAATAAGACAGATGATTTTTCCTGACATCATTGGGAGAAATGTATGGTAGCCCTTAGGGCCCAGTGGAAAATAAAACACCTTCATAAATGTATATAATCATTGAGATCTAGTACTTGCTTTTCACATTAAGTATTCAACATTACTAGAAGCAGTCAGAAAGGCAGTAACCCTTGGAAATATATATTATTTCAACTCTTTTGTCCTTTAGTCTCACCTGAAAAGTGCATATACCAGGGTAGCAATCAAAGCGAAACTGACCACAACTGCCACAAGTACTTGGTCACTTACTCCTTCTATGACTGAATCATCATCCAGTTTCAAACTTTGAACTTCACCCTGATATTTGGCCATTTCAGGTCTAAAAGATAAGAAACAAGATGAAAGTTACAAATGACCCAGTGTAAAGAAAATATACTAATAACAATGCAACTGATTTAATATATTTAATTTTTTCTAGTACCCACTTAAAATAAGTTGCACTAAGCACAATTCCAGTTTGGACTGTCCCATTAATGAGTTCTTCAAAATTTGCCAGACATTATTTTGGAGACCACATGAATCTATATCCTTTAAGAGAAACAATTACTACAATGTAACATGCATTTATATTTTTTAGCTTTTTTAAAAAATATATTTCATTAATTATGCCATTACATTTGTTCTATTTCCCCCCTTCATTTCCCTCCACCCTGCATACCACCTCCCCCACCATCCCCCTTTAGTTTATGACCATGTGTCTCAAGTTCTTTAGATTCCATACCTCCCCTACTATTCTTGCCCTCCCCCTATCTATTTTCTACCTACCATCTATGCTACTTATTTTCTGTACCTTCTCCCCCCTTCTCCTCCTCCCACTCCCCTGTTGCTAACCCTCCATGTGATCTTCATTTCTATGGTTCTGCTCCTGATCTGTCCTTTTAGCTTGCTTTTGTTTTAGTTGTGGTTGTTAATAACTGTGAGTTTGCTGTCCTTTCACTGTTCATATTTTTTATCTTCTTTTTCTTAGATAAGTCCCTTTAACATTTCATATAATAAGGGCTTGGTGATGATAAATTTCTTGAATTTGATCTTATCTGAGAAGCACTTTATCTGCCCGTCCATTCTAAATGAAAACTTTGCTGGATAGATCAGTCTTGGTTGTAGGTCTTTGGATTTCACGACTTGGAATATTTCTTTCCAGGCCCTTCTTGCCTGTAAGGTCTCTTTTGAGAAATCAGCTGACAGTCTGATGTGAACTCCTTTGTAGGTGACTGTCCCCTTCTCTCTTGCTGCTTCTAGGATTCTCTCCTTCATTTGAATCTTGGCTAATATAATGATGATGTGCCTTGGTGTGTTCCTTCTTGGGTCCAACTTCTTTGGGACTCTCTGAGCTTCCTGGATTTCCTGGAAGTCTATTTCCTTTGCCACATTGGGGAAGTTCTCCTTTATTATTTGTTCAAATAAGTTTTCCACTGTGGCTTTTCCTCTTCCCCTTCTGGTACCCCTATAATTCGGATGTTGGAACATTTAAAGATGTCCTGAAGGTTCCTAAGCCTCTCATTTTTTTGAATTCTTGTTTCTTCATCCTTTTCTGTTTGGTCATTTTTTTCCCTCCTTTTGGTTGACTCCATTGATTTGAGTCCCAGTTTCCTTTCCATTGCTATTGGTTTCCTGTGTATTTCCATTCATTTCAATTAGTTTAGCCTTCACATGTTCCTCTAATTTGTGACTAAAATCAACCAGTTCTGTGAGGATCCTGATCACCAGTGTTTTGAACTGTGCATCTGAAAGTTTGGCTATTTCTTGGTTGCTTAGATTAATCGGCTCTGGGGCTCTGAGTTCTCGAGCCCCAGTTTTGATCTGTTAGTGCCTGTTAGGTATGAGGAACGGAGCCTTAGTTGTTTACCAGGGTGGGGCCACCCAGGTCACTGGTTTGTGACGCTGTACGTGGGGGCGTGGTCAGAGAGGGGCCACTCAGGTCATTGGTTTGTGACGCTGTATGTGGGGGCAGGGTCAGAGAGGGACAATGGCAGTTTCCTCTGCCGCTTCCTGCCACTGGGACCTGGGTGGTCCATCTCACTGCTAGCTCCTTCACCGGTCTATCTGCATGTGAATGTGTGACTGCAATCAGCCATCAGTGGGTCTGCTGCCCTGCACCCTCAGTGGGTCCAACGCCCTGCCCTCTCAGAAGGTCCACCCGCCTCTCCACACCCGGGATCAGCCCACGGTTGCTGGCGCACCTGGGCTGTGCGCCTGGGTTGGTCCAATGGATCTTTCCTGGCCTACCCTGCTCCGCTGCTGGCTCTGCCCCTCTCACTGGTCTGGGCCAAAGGGTTCGTTGTTGCGGGACTTCCGTGCAGTTCAATTTTCTGTGGTTTGGCTGCGTTTTTGTTGCTAAAACTTTGCTGCTTCCAAACTTAGTTGTGGGAGAAGGTGCAGTGCTTCCACCTACACCTCCATCTTGGCAGAAGTTCCTATATTTTTTAGCTTCTTTTCAAGCTTAGCTCCTTTTGTAAATTTATTTTTTAAATATTTTATTATTTATTTGCAGAGAGTGGGAGAGGGGAGGAGAATGGGAGGGAGAGAAACATTGATTGATTGCCATTCAGATGCCCCTGGCCCACAACCCGGACATATGCCCTGACCAGGAATCCAAATGGGTGACCCTTTGGTTCACAGGCCGGCACTCAATCCACTGAGCCACACCAGCCTGGGCAGCTCTTTTAATTTTAAGAAAAAAAAAAAGACACTACTCATGCCCAACTGCTCTTTCCTTACACTTGAATACCAAATAGGTTCTCCAAGTAGATCAGATCCTGCTTCTCCCTCATAGCACTAAATGTACATCATAGAATTTATCACATGTGGATAAGGAAGGAAATCTTGTTTTTTCTGTACATATTCCTATATTACCTAGCATAGTGCTCTGTACACAGTAAGACCTAGTAATATATGTTTAAATAAGAGTGACTTACCTTACTTACAGTGTTAGTAATTGGAAAAGTAAAAGACAATGAGGCTACTGGGCATTTATATCTATACTAAGACTACTTGAATTAATCAAAATTGAGGTTCTCGAGAAACTATTAGTCTCACCTGGGACTAACCTCAGCTTATGGAATCACTCTCAAGATGCATTTCCTTATGCATCTTGAGAAGAGAAAAGGGAGGATATGAAACTCTCCTTCCCATAGAAGAAACTAAAGAGAAATGGTAATACCCAATTTCTATAGGTAGGAGAGGAGATAGCCCAACCACATTTCAGGTGTTTTTCAGATGGCAAAGCAGTGAAATTAAAAGACTTTGTAAGACACCTAAATGGAAATAAAGGAAATATTCAATTAAATATATGACTATTCATAATTAAAATAAAATCCTGTATTTATGTAATTCACAATATCATTAATTAGGAGAGTATCTGTTAAGAGGAGTCTTTGAGTGTGCAAGCCTAAGACCTTTGAAAAGAATCTGAACTGGCTGCTTGTAAGAAAATTACCTCTTAATTTTTTTAAAGCAAACAAACAGATCAAAGGAGTCTTTCATCGCTTTACACATGGTAATGACCTGATATATGAGGAATTTTCTAATGACAGGTTTCAAATATCCATGATGAAGACTTACACCAAGAAACAGAGAAAAGAGCATTAACTCCAGTATTTTTATTCAAAAGAACAGTCAAACAAACTGCCAACTGAAACTGAAGAGTCTCTATGATCTGGGGGGTGGGCCATGTAGTCAATTTAGATTTTTATTTTACCAGGTTTCCTCTTTTTAAATTACAGATGCTATCATTGTGTCAAAAGTCCTAAGGGCAGTGAGAACTACTGTGTCTGCTCAAAGATAACTAAAATGTTATCCTCCGTGTTGAGATTCCCAGCCTCTAATTACTACCGAACCTAATTATTTCACAGAGTTGTAAGGATCTTCTTTTGTACTATACACTTTAGGGTGTTTACTACTTTGTGCTTCAAAAAAGAAAGGATTGTATCTGGCATGCTTCAGGTTTTCAGGGGAGAAAGTGATGAGTATTTTCCTTTGCCTTCCTTGGCTGCTTAAATGTAAAAAAAATAATAATAATAAAAATAGATGATGTTTGTTTCTATGTCCTTCCAGGTATAATCAGTGGTGCTGTGACTAAATTCTACAGTACTACTACTACTAATACACACACACACACACACACACACACACACACACACACTCATTCTACTATATATACACATGTGTATAGGACTTCTATGTAATTATACCCTGAAAATACTGCTTGATGAACAGTTTAAGAGCTCACAGATCCAGGATATGCGTTAAGTACTGCAAAGCCATATAATATTATTCACTATCATTTTATAGCAGAACTTCCCAGAGAAGGTGCTCAAGCTGAGAAACGGCAGGAGGGAGACTACTAAGAGGAAGAGAGAGGTCAGTTGCATTTTCCTGCCACGTGGAAATCCTAGTTAAACCTAGGGACTCTCACACGGAGAACTACTAATGATGACTGACCTACTTGTTGGTGGCTTTAATGGTTCAAGTTACTTCCATCACTACATTTCTTTGATCCAGAGTTTTTTGGAATAAAAACAAACAAACAAACAAACCAGGAAATATAAATACCAAGGGTTAAAGTGGCTACAAATGAGGAGCACAACCAGAAAAGCCAGATCTTCACTTTTCCCAGGACATGGTTTTATAGTTTGAATTCAAGTCCATATTACTTAACAATAAAAAGAAAAGCCAGTGCCTGATTCCTCCCTTGAGAGAGAAAAATTAGGCTTCAATGCTCAGATTTAAAATGCCTATCTCCAGCCCTGGTTGGTGTGGCTCAGTGGACTGTGTGCCAGCCTGTGAACCAAAGGGTTGCTGGTTCCATTCCCAGTCAGGGCGTATGCCTGGGTTGTGGGCCAGATCCCTGGTGGTGTGTGAGAGTCAACCACACATTGATGTTTCTTTTTCCCTCCCCTTCCCTCTCTAAATATAAATAAAGCCTTTTTAAAAAGTGTCTCTAGTCTCATTCTCACCTACCACTTGTTTTTTGATGGTGTCTTATAAAGACCACTGGGAGGCACTGACTGTATCTTATTTCCTTGAGCGGTGCATGGGGAGTACTACATGTTGTAGGGACCAATAAATGCAGCTGCCTTCAAACCCAGAAACGAAGTTATTACATTTATAAAATATGGTATATAATCTATTTCATAGGATCTTGTCAAATATGAAAATGTGTTACTAATACTTTTTTCAACTATTTGAGATTTAAAGAAACAAAACACTGTATATCTTCAAAACTGTAAATTGATAATCAATAGAATAATTGATAGAAGCAGAGCTGGGTTCTAGCTTTGTTATTGCGTAGCTGGCTAAGTCTTAGTGAGGAATATTTTAATATATCAAAGCATAAGCTTTGGAGTCAGGTAACTGTGTACTTATGTAAAATCTGGGTCTCAGCTTCTTTATATGTAAAACACATAATATTAATTTGAACCACATCAAAGTCACTTTTTGGCAAAAAAACACCTTGTTTTATGGAGTTTAGGGAATAATGAAGAAACATTTAGCATACTGCTTAGCACATCATATAGGCTCTCAGTAAATGGAAGCTATAATATTTTGATTACTGTTATTAACAACTGTCAAGGAATCAGCCGAACCATGATGAAACTTAACCATACTTGCTCTATGTAGCATCTCAAACTGTCTTTAATTGAAGCTCTAACTATGCATTATCTGGGCAGATAGGATAAACTTGAGAACATTGCCATGCGGGGCACCACCACATTTACTTGAATCTGATAGACAGCTGTAGATAAGAACTAGCCTCCAACTAACCAGAGTAAGGAGACAGCTAAGGTAAGTTCCACTCACTTCTCTCTGGTCTGTTCCAAAGTTTTCAGGAAACATGCAGACACACACCCAAAAATAAGGCAAGTATAGGAAATTCCATAACTTCAAAGGATAAACTCATCATCTTTTACCCAAGCTCATGTAAGAACATGATGGCCACATGGCTTCTGCAACAATTACTGACATCTAAGAAGTTTTAAAATAATTTCCTTCATGGAAGGTAACTGGAGTTACACAATGGAACCTCAAGGACACTTGCAATGTCATAATCCACAGATGCACTGGGATGAGCACCCTGGCATGAAAAAGGAGGCTTAAGTCAATTGTGTCAAAGCCTTGAAAGCTTGAGCAGCTGGAGTTTGGGGCTCACTACACCACAGTCCTTCCAGAAACGGCTAGCTAGCATCTTGTTCTCCTCCACCTCCAACAACAAGTTGCAGGGGAGTCAGCCTCATGTACTGACTTTGCATGCCTAACAAGGGTAATGGGTCACCTAAAAGTGCAAGGGATTCTACCTCTTGCAGAAACAACCTACCATGGAATGTGGGAACTCTGGTTTGACAAAGATCCACAAGGCACCAAAGGAAACAAAGGCAGGTGAGAAACATATTTATCATTTCTAAAGGTTTCTCTACCCTTAGTGTAGGGAAGAGGACTTAAAGAACCACCGAGAAGACTTCAAAAAAGATTATTTACATTCACAAAATGAGAAATCATCATAGGAACTATGAAGTCTGTAAGGCATCATTAAAAAGTCAGTACCATCTTGATTGTTCTAAGTGCTCACTAACAAAACCTACTTTTAATGAAAATAAAAAGGGCTCCAGGAACTGCAAACCAAAGTAAAGATGTGTCATGGGAAGTTAAATTTGCCACACCTCAAATAAAATTTTGGCATTACCAAATAAAAGTTATGCATACCTTTTTTTATGAACTAACAATTCTCCTAAAACTCTAAGGCATGTATTCTTTAAAAACTTACACATTTGCACTAGTATCTAGTTTATGAATGCTTACAGCATCGTTCTTAATATCCGCAAACTGGAACAACAAACTGCCCATCAACAGTAGAATGGATAGTTATATTCATACAATGGAATACTAGATAGCAGTAAAATTACCTATAGGTATACACAAATTCACCATTAATTCAAAAACACAAAATAACACAATATGATCCCACTCATAAAAGTTCAAAACAGTCCAGTCAAAATATATTGTTTAGGCATGCATACCTAAGTGGTAAATCTATAAGGAAAAGCAAGAAAGTTGATCAGTTTAGGGGGGAAATCATGCTCAGAAGGGAATATCAGGTGTGGGTGAAACTCCTGAGGTACCATCAATGATCTTTGTTTTTGTCTGGGTGTTTTATTATTAATTAGTCTTTAAACATGTACGTTGTATGCAGTTTGTCTTATCGCATAAAAACTTATCGGTAATCCTGCAGAGATTCACACCTCTAAAAATGTGAGAGCTCGCGGATGATCCATCTATCCATTAAGAAGACCAGTACTTATCAGCAGGACACTGGGAGAAACAGGCCCTAGGAACTATCGGGTCCTCACGGATAGGTGAAGTGGGGCACACCTTCTCCCCACTTTATGTAACTTAAGTTTTCAGGGGATCGAAGGTCCACGAGAGCCAAGAAGGTTGGCGGCGGGCTATCCTCATCGCCGGCCAAACCCATCTGAAACCCCCGAGACGCCCGCCACTTTAACCCTTCCACCGTCTCCAGGGGCCTTGGGATAGGACCCAGAGACTCTGGAGTTTTGCCCAAGCTTCCTGCAGGAAGGGAGCCTGAGAGTCCGAGGTTGCTACTCTCCAGCCTCCGGAGCGCCGAAACCCCGGCGCAGTGTCGCCCACGCCGGGCCCTGCGGGAACTCCGCAACCCAGGACCCGGTGGGTGGGTGTGGCCGGCCACGGCCTTTCGACCAGGAAGGGTGGGAAGGGGGCGCGTACCTCTCCACCGCAGAGAATACCTCGCCAATTCCGGGTGGTTGAGGGTAGAGATTATTTCCGGGGACTGCCCCCGTCTCCCATCCCGGCCAACCACTAGCTGTCTCCTTTCTACTTTGGTGTGCGAGCACAGGCGCACGCGCATAGCTGCGCTTCCGTGAGGACGCGCGTGGAGGACCAGTCTTCGCCGCCAGGGCCCGGAGCGCGCGCGCGCGACACGCAGGGGCTTGCGTCTGGGGGCGCGCGCGCGGCGGCGGCGGCAGCGGTGGCTGGGAGGCGGGCGGGCCGGAGCGCGACTGCGCGCAGTGGCCCGTCGGCCGCAGCTCTGGCCAGGGCTAGGGGCGGGGACCTGGGCTGCGGGCGTGGCTGAGGCGAGCGCAGCGGACGCGCGTCTTGAGTGAAAAGAAGGAGGGGCACCAGGAGTGACGGTGCGAGAGCCGCTTCCAGCCTCGGACCGGAGTCGGTGGCTCGGGCCCGAGGACAAGGTGGGCTAGAGGCCAGATCCGCTTCCCGGACCCTCCGACGCGGTCCCAGCCCGAGCGGCAGCGGTTCCTGGCGAGGTGGGAAGGCGCTGCCAAACCCCAGCAAGGGAAAATGTTCAACGTGGAGTCGGCGGAACGGGTGGAGCTGTGCGAGAGCCTTCTTACTTGGGTATGTGTTGACCTGCAGGTCGGAGGAAGACCCCCAGCCCCTAGGCTGCTTTTCCGGGTTCACCCCCAGTGCTCTTCGCGGGGGGCGAGCGCCAGGACAGCGGTGCCGTCACATCCGGGGCCTGGGGCGGGCGGAGCCGGGGTACGCTGGTGCGGGCCGTGTCTACAGCAGCGGCAGGGCGGGGATGCGCCGGGGGCTCCCGGGCGCGGGAGGTTCAGCCCGGGGTCTGAGGGAGACTTGCCGGGCTTGAGGTGTTGGCCCGGTGGAGGCTAATGATGGGGTGCAGGCGGCACTGTAATTAAGGTTGTTTGCAGGTGATGAGGTGCTGGCGCTTCACTCTCGCGCTCCTGGGGACACCGAAGCGTTGCTTCCCTCTGCCTCGGGGACAGCCGATAGAGGCACTCCGGACCCCTGGTTACGACGCTCCTCGCCTTTGTTGTGTGGTTCTCGGGTGGTAGAGCGCGGCCCTTTAAGGGCTGAGCCGGCCCACTAGAAAAATAGGTACTTTTAAGGGAGGGTAGGAAAAATACAATAAGACACCCAGAAACACCATTTAAAATGCTAGATGCATTTTAGCGATTAGAAAGCAAGCGGTGTGGAGGTGCCTATTAAAGGTAGTACAGATAAAAAATCTGGAAGGTATTTGGGAATCAGCCATGGAACTCGACATTTCAGGGGCAGCGTTGTGGGATTCTAATGTGGAATTACTAAAGGCTTATTAAAGTCCTCACGTTTTAAATAAGTATGTGTTCGATTCTGATGGCCCCGTTCGTGCCTTGAGCAACCCCTTCAAGGGCTGGACCTATACACCTCTGTGTGTTTCTCACTGTGGTGTCAGTTCCTGGTGTGTGTAGGGGTCTTCAGAGCCACGGATAAACCCCTTCTCTCGGGAGCATTCGTTTTATTCATTTCTAAAAATGTTAAATGTAATTTCTAGAATAAAACACTTGTATGTTTATGGAGGTGGCTACCTCATTTGTATTAACGTTAAAGGTAAAATACAAATGTCAAAGAAATTCTCTTAGCGGTTCCTTGATACAAGTTCAGATGCCTGGAGTATAGATGTCACTGTCCTGTGTTGGCATTTTGGTGGGAAAGTTAGAGAAGTTATTACAAAGCTAATACAAAGTTATTATTGTAACAAACGTAATGAAAATAGTATATTTTTGTAACTCGGCTTCTGTCATGAATCAAACTATATCTTCTAAAACAATACATACAGTGGCAGAGGTTGATAATACTCATGAGCTTTTATATTGGGCCATTCTTGGGATTTCAGATTGTTTGCAATAATTTAACATACAGCTTACAGTTGTAATGTGTTCCAACTGCAGGCAGGGAGATGGGTTTCACTGCTGTATTTTAGAGGAGAGAAAGAGTGATAAGCAGCACAATGGGGCCAGGGTTTGACTAGGCAGAGGAGAGATAAAAGAAAGAATTACCACATTCTTTGATATGGTGGAAGGAACAGGTTTGGCAGAGGTTGTAAACAGAAGATTAAGGATCTTAAGATGTGCGTTTTTTGAGTCTGTACAAAGTAGAGGCCCCTCCATGCTAGAAAAAGAGGCAAGAGGGCAAAGATGAGGAAGCTAATTGAATTGGAAGTAGGGCTACATTGTTTCAAGTCTAGAAAGAGGAGTCATGGAAACAAAGAGGTGTATTTCAAAGCCATCTGCTAAAAGATAGTGCAGTTATTTGAGTGAGAAATGCTAATAAAAATAATAGAGGAAGAACACAGGGAAGTTTGAAGGGCCGCTAACAGAAGCACAATGCCAGAGCATCTATTTAGAATCTGGTAAAATGTCAAAACAGGTAATCCAGGTTATCAGCTGTGCAGAGAGGTCAGGGAATGTGGCAAAAAGAAAAGCCTTTTTGAAATGCCACTGGAAGGCTCATCAAGGACAATTTCTGGAAAAGATAAGGTTAGAAATTATCAGGGACAAAACTGGAGAACAGAGTTCATACAAAGATGTACAGTTCTAAGATTTGGAAACATTTTAAAACATTATACACTGACATGTTTCAAAACAAAGTTGAGTTGAAATGCTATGTTTGTTCTCTTTTAGTTTTCATTATAAAAAGCAAAATAAGTGCTTATGTGTAAAATGTTTACGGTAACTGAACATGTACATTGAAGCTCGTAGCTCCCGTCCTGTCTGGAGGCCAGATTAATGCTGAACAGAATCTTAAAATTAAATGGAAGGGAAAAGTGTATGCAGTACACTCCAAAGACAAGTCTCCGATTTAGAATAATTTATTTTACATAAACTTACAGCCAAGTTGTGTGGTTTCTTTGCACACAGCAAGTTAGAGGGTAACTGCACTATTCAGCAAAATACATACAGCTGTCCGTAACATAGAAGATGCAAGAAATCAAAGTTTAGTCTGGGTGATTCAGTCGATGAGCTGAGAGTCTTAGATAACTTTAAGAACCTCCATTATGATCCTGAATCTCAAGTAAAAGTTTATTTTAAATATATAGCATTTAGTTTGAGGTTAGAGGTTATAGTACATTTTAGAAGTCCTTCCAGTAGAATTAGTAAAAATAATAAAGGCTCACACTTAATGGAATGACTCTTAGTCACCTATGTAGAATTCATTTCTATGGAACATCTCTTTGCCCTAAATGCTAAATAAATTGCTGTCATATCAGAGAGCTGCTAGCCCAAGAGCCAGATGTTTCCAATTTTTGTTGAAAGACGAATACTCATGAAAAGACAAGTATCCCTTCTTCCTACACCTGTCACCTTTGTTTTAAATAAACTGTCCTTTGGACCACAAAAAGAAAAAGAAAAAAGTATCACTCTACTAATGGAAAACATCTTAAACTTAAATTCCATATCAAAGTTCATGCTTCAAGCAAGTTCAGCCAGACGTGCTTGAAAATTTCCACTCTACCTCCTCTCCCCACCCTGTGAGTCAAAAATGGTTCTTACCTGTTAGAAAAATCTGCCCTGCCTAGTACACCTGTCAGCCTAATTTCTTGGGTTGTACATGAAAAGAGTGCTTTTTCCTAGGTTATAAAGACTGAAAAGCCAGGAAAAATCTGGGAAGGTTACCAGTTAATGTCAAGAAGCTGAGTGGAAAAAGAATTGTCGTCACACAGGCCAGTACATTTCTTCTAGGAAACCTGGTCACATTAACATATCCTTAAAGTTTTCATACTACTTACTTAGCAGCCTGTAAGATGCACATGAGTGTGTAAAATTAGGGAGGGTAGGGTTTTTATGGTGATGTGTTCCCCTTTCCATTATCTGTACTTTAAGTCCATTCTCTGATCCTTTTTGTCCTCTAATAGACAAATAAAGAAATCAGATGTATAATAGTTAAAGCACATATTTTTTAAAGCTTTAAATTATTTTTAATAAAGGGAGAATATAACATAATTAAGGTTACTAAGAAGGGGTTCTTGTGCTTTACTATTGATCAGCAGCATTGGAGGGCTCATGAAAATACTGAGTTTTTCATGTCCAGAGTTTATAATTCAGTAAGTCTGGGCTGGGGCCTGATATTCTGCATTTCTAACAAGTTTCTAGGTGACGCTATTGTTAGTGGCCCGGGGACACCATACTTTGAGAACCACTGCTCCACTGAAGGGTTCGTTAACCTTAGCACTGTTGACATTTCGGGCCAGATCATACTTCGGTGTAGGCCCTGCCTGTGCACTGTGGCACCCCTGGCTTCTATCTACTCAATACCATTAGCACCCACCCAGTTGTTACAACCAAAAATGTGTCGTGGGGAGTAACGTTGCCTCTGGTTGAGAACCACTGCTTTAGGAATACTAAATCCAAGTGATCGCCCGCTTTACTCTTCTCGTGCTTTTGTGAGGGAGGGTGGTGTGGAGGTTGGGTGGGGTAAAAATGGCTTCTTGGAATTAAAAAAGAGGTTATGAGCCTTCAGGTAAAAGTTATGCCTTAATGCAGTTAGGTGTGATTATCTTTAAATTTTATTGTACTGCTATCCTGAAATATCTCATAGATGTATAATCCAATCAATAAAAAAATGTGTGTGAAGACAGATGGTCACCTGAGTGTTAGTCCCAATATTTCCAAGGTCACTGCAAGGTGAGCAACAGCAAGAATTCCTTTAATGATGATACTGATTCTCACCAGAATCAGTATGGTCTTTATACAGGGGTGGGCAAAGTATGTTTGCAGTTGCTCACATGGAAAATAATACAATAATTAATAATCATACAAAAATAAGCTGTGTTTTACACACTCACAACTGTAAACCTACTTTTGCCCACCCCTGTACATTGTAGATTACATGGCCTCACTCTCCTGCCAACTCCCATTGCTTTTAGGATAATGTCCTGACATCGCTTATGAGGTTTTGCACAATCATGCTTTGTCTTTAACTCTGTCTTTAACCATTTTATTCTTTTTTTCTGTTCCATCTCCAGTCTCTGCCTCCCCACCCCACCCCCAATTCATACCAAGCTGCTTTTCATTCCTAGATTGTATCCTACTCTAACTTCTCATGTTTGTGCTTGCTGTTTACATTTCCTGTGATACCCTTTCATTTTACTGACCTATAAACTGTATGAGAGCATGGCCTGCATCTGTCTGTCCTCAGTGATTTATTTCCTTCTGAGTCCTGCTTGCACTGCTGGGTATAATCATTGCTGGCTCAGCTGTGTTATTTTACTCATGGAAATAATTTCGGCTGCTTTTTGGCCACGTCATGTTGACCATACAGAGTTAGTTCTAATTCAGAATGCATTTAAAATCAAAGTGAATTAAATATCTAACCTAACCATAATGTGACTTTTACATTTGTATAGTTATGTTTGGCTTTGAGTAAAAGAAGCCTCAAGCTGGCCAGACTTAAGCAAGAGATTTATCTAACATAACAAGGGGCTTCAAGGTTTTAAATTTAGTGGATCGGTTTGGGTCTCCAGAACTTAGTCTTTCTCTGCCTTTCTCTGCATTCCACTGCATTGGCCTCATCCAAAGGTGGTTCCCTTAGTAGTCATCAGGAGACTGCTAGTGGCAATTGAGGCAGCATGTTGATTCACTTCAAGAGGAGATCGCCCCTCCTTTCCCAGAAGTTCAAGTATGCATTCTCTTGCATCTCTTTGGTCCAAATGGTCTTTGCCCTATGCATCCTCAAGTCAGTCACTGATAGATGGGATGAAGGCACCATAACTATCTTAGATTGATCATCTGTGAATAGAATGGATGCTGGGAAGTCACCCAGTGTCCTTTACAATTTCTCTTTTGCCAAAGGGAAAAAATTATATTAACCTAAAGTAAATTTCCTGTAAGGGAAAATATTTCCAACTCTCTGCATTTTAAGACTTATTACAACTCCCAAGAGCTGGTGCTCACAAAAAGAAGCCTAAGAAATCTTTTGTAATAGTTAACCATGGAATCTTTTTTCCCCTTCAGATCCAGACATTTAATGTGGATGCACCATGCCAGACCGTGGAAGATTTAACGAGTGGGGTTGTGATGGCCCAGGTTCTTCAAAAAATGTAAGAATAAATTGCTTTTTATTTTGTATGTCATTTTACATGGATATTTGATTAGATTAAAACACGGGCAAAAAGTTAAGTGCTTATATGAAATGTATGTTGCACATAATACAAGAACTGTAAGCAGGAGTGATAATTTTGATGGCATGTACTTGTTTAGGTACAGATTGACTGGCTGCAAGATAATTAGGGCTGTAATAGTCCAATGGTTTTAGCAGAGTTATTTGTTCTTATGTTTTTTAGCATATTTTTGACAGAAATTTTCATATTAGTAACCAGATTTTGCTATCGTAGAAGATCTAGGAGGCTTACTCTGAGTAATAATGCTAAAGTGTAACAGTGAGTGTTTTGTAACTACCCATATAAAATAATGGATAACCAGTCCCCTATGCTCCGTATCCCTTTTAACCATTTGTATTCTTTTGCAAAGTATGTTAACACTGTCTTATATGCCATATATTCTCTTGTTGGCTCATTTGCTGCTGCCCCTGCCGCCCACACCCCACAAACACGTGTACTCGTTAAGCTTTGCATGGAGGCGGGGTGTGTTTTTGTTTTCTGTCCTGTCAAAGCACCTAAGCTTCGCATAGAGGCAGGGCAGTGCCTGGTGTTCGGCCGAACCATATGAAAATGACCTTTTTTGTAGATTAAAAAAATGGTCAAATATTAGTAATTTCTCTTAAGATTTTTAAATTTTTATTTATTTTTTCTTTTTAGGGAGAGGGGAAGGGAAGGAGAAAGAGAGGGAGAGAAACATTGATGTGTGAGAGAAAAACATTGATCATTGCCTCTTGCACCCTCCAACCAGGGTCCTGGCCTGTAGCCCAGGCATATGCCAACTGGGAATCGAACTGGCAACCTTTCAGTTTATAAGCCTCCTAGAAGACGCTAAGAGGCTTACTCCTAGTAAAAATACTGAAATGTAACAGTGAGTTTTTCTCTAAGCACCCATGTAAAATAATTGACAACCATTCCCCTATGCTCAGTTCGGTTCCCAATCAGGGCACATGCCTGGGTTGCAGGCCATATCCTCAGTAGGGGGCACACAAGAGGCAACCACACATTGATGGTCCCTCTCTTTCTCCTTGCCCTCCCCTTTCTGTAAAAATAAGTAAAATCTTAAAACAAAAACAAAAACAAAAACAGAATTTATTGGGCTTCATGCAATTTGGGAGATACTTTTGTCTTCTGAAGCCCTGAACCCTTTTCAGCCTGACAATATTAAAAGATTTGCATATAACTAGCAAGGATTTCCTGCTCTTCTATTGAGAATCATTGCCATCATTAATTCTCGCTGTTGCTCACCTTACAGTAGGCTCTTTACAGTTGCCCATCTGAGAAGCAATTCAAATGCCTGCGTTTCAGAGAATTTGTGTGCCTGTAGCATTGGGGGCTCATGCTTAAAAACTATAGCTTGCCATTGCTTTCTTCTGTGACTTATATGGCACCTCTTTCCAGGTATACAGGCATACAGACTTCTTGATAGAGCTCAAGAAGGCTCATTTGAACCTGACCAGAGTGATCTCATGATTGTCATGGTCACTTCTGAGTGGTGCCCTAATGACTTTTAGCCTTTGAATGGCCCAGAGAGTTTCACTGAAGTTCTTTTTTTTAACTTAATTTTTTAATTTATTTATCTTTAGAGAGGAGAAAGGAGGGAGAAATAGAGGGAGAGAAATATCATCGTGTGGTTGCCTCTCACATGCCCACTACTGGGGACCTGGCCCACAACCCAGGCATGTGCCCTGACTGGGAATCAAACTGGCGACCCTTTGGTTTGCAGACTGGCACTCAGTCTACTGAGCCATACCAGCCAGGGCTGAAGTTCTTAATAAAATTTATTTGTGGGCATGTAGATGTATATAAGTGAGCCTACCAAGTATGTGTCAGTAAATGAGTTTGTCACTTAAATTAGTTTGGGTAGGATTTCTTACTTGAAGAAACCAGAAGAAAGACTATATCAATTTACCAATGAAGATCAAAAGAAACTTGTATTCTACAAAATGGTTACCTTAATTTACCGAAGTCTTGTGGGCATATTTCTCATCAGTACTTAGATTTTTAACTTTTTTTCCAAAATGCTTTCTTGTTTCCCTTTTGTTGAGATACAACACATACAGAAAAGCCTACCTAAAAAGTGATGAGTTTGTGTTTGTATATCTATGAATATTGTATGTATATGTATATCTATACATGCATCCATGTAACCGCCACCCAGATTGAAATATAACATTTTTAGCACCAAGATTCATTTCATGGCCCTCCCTAATCAATATTTCTTGCCTCAAAGATGCTTGTGACTTCTACATCATTAGTTTTTCCTGTTCTTGAATATTTTATAAATTGAATCATGCAGTGTATACTGACTTCTTTCACTCAGTATATGTGAGATTCGTTCATACTGCTGCATATCATCTATTTTAAGTAATTCTGTAGTATATTCACCTTCTCCAGAAGTTCAGTTCCTCTGTTGTCAGTTTGATATTTATTGAACGGCTACTTGGGTCAAGCACTGGTGATGCAAAGATAAGCAACAACTCACAGGGTAATTGCCATCAGAGTTTATAACCTGGGAAAAAACAGATTTTAAATAACCATGAAAACAAAATGGCTACTATAACAAGTTCTTCAGAGGAGGAATATGTAGCGTTATGAAAGTTTGTTTAAGAGGCATAATTAACTTAGACAAGGAAGTCATGAACATTCTACCTGAGTAGGTAAAGATGTATTGGATCTGAAGGATCCTTGGAAACAGGTTTCTTAGCACAGGGAAGAGCATACATAGAGGCCTTATAGGCTGATGGTATATGGTGAACACCACCACAGAAAGAAAGAGGGTCCAAGTGGCTAGAGAGGAGAGGGAGAGCTGTGGGTTGAGAGGTGGGCGGAGCCAAACCACGTAGGACTTGTGTCTTTATTCCAAGGGCCATGAGAAGCAATGGAGGGGTTTTATTTTGGGAGAGGGGTGAACATAGATTTATATTTAGAAAATTGTTTGGCTACAGGTATAAAATGAATTGGAAGAAACAATAATAACCACAGATGATTAATTTTAAAGAAATTTGTAATAACTCAGAAGGGAAATGATGAGGAGGTGGCAAAGGAGATCAAGATAAGTGGATAGACTCAAAATGGTATAATAAATCAAATTTTAATGATTGATATGGGGTAGTTAGTAAAAGGTAGTTATCAAAATTGACTTAAGTTTCCAACTTAAGCGAATACACAGAAGAGGGTGCAAACCACTGATGTGGGGACACTGAAAGGGGATCTGATGCAAAGGAGATCTCCTTTGGATGTATCATGGGTTCGGGTTGGGAAGGAACATTGACTGTTAGTGCTTCTGAGACATTAAGAGAAGATGCGAAGTTAGCAGTTAACCATACAGGCCTAGAGGCCTAGAGTTCGGAAGAGGAGTCTGAAACTGGAGGTAACCAGTTGACGAATTTTTTCATTGAAGCTGTAAGTGTGGATTAAGTCACTCAAGGAAGAGTATGGGGTAAGAAGAAAAATTGCACAGCCTGAGTCTTGAAGAACTTTAGCATTTAATTGTTGATTAAAACGTTAACTCACAGACGGAACAGAAAGGTGTGAGGAAAGTCAGCCAAGAAGAGAGTTTTACTAGAAATAACAAATCATTTCATTTTGACTGAGTTGATAAGTGAAAAACTATACATTTTTGTAATCTTAGTAGAAATTTTATCAAATCTGAACAGATCCAAGTAAGCTTATTGCTAGTATAACTTATTTTTTCTCTAGTTTTTAGAGGCATTTTCTGTTCCTCTGCTTTCCAGCTTCCCAAATTCTGTTGTCTTCTCTCTCTCTGTTCATGTCCCCCTCACTTTTTCAATTAATAGACTGTTGTTTTAGAGCAGTGTTAGTTTCACAGCAAAATTCAGTGGAAGAGTTTGGATGAGAAGGTTCTGGAGGTAGACAGCAGTGTGAACATACTTAAGGCCACTGGACTTAAAAGTGGTTTAAGTGATAGATTTTACTACAATAAAAAGACTTACAAATTGAGTGGAAATTACGACAAGTTTCCACGTATTTCCTGCCCCACCACACACACAGCGTTCCCCACTATCAGCATCCCCAGCTGAGTGACACATCATTGCCACCCCCGTCCCTAATTCGGAGCTCATTCTGCGCTTTACATTTTGTGGGTTTTGACAAATATATAATGACATGTATCCACCATGATAGTAAGTCACAGATTAGCTTTACTACCCTAAACATCGCCTTTGTTCCGCCTAATCGTCGCTCCTTCCTTGGCTCCTTGCCAGTCACTGAGTCACTGTTCTCTTTACTGTCTGCATAGTCTTGCCTTTTCCAGAATGCTCTGCAGTTGGGATCATACAGTCCATATAGCCTTTTCCAGATTGGCTTTGTTAAACAAAAATTTTAACTTCCACGACTGAAAGTCTTTATTTTTTATGTATTTTTTTCATTACTGTTTTTGTACCCCTGTACCTTCTTCCACCTCATCCACCCCCACTCCCCACTGTCCCCACCCGCCCCAGCAGTCATCTCTTTGTTGTCTGCGTCCATGGGTTCTCTTTTTTCTTTTTGGCTCAATCCCTTCGCCTCCCCCACTCAGGGGGGACTGTCAGCCTTCTCTCTCTGATTGTTTCTACTTTGCTTGTTAGTTCAGTTTGTTCATTAGATTCACCATATGAGTGAAACCATATGGTACTTATTCTCTGCCTGGCCTGTTTCACGTAGCTAATATTCTACAGGTCCATCTGTACTGTCACAGAGGGTAAAATTTTCTTCTTTTTATGGCCAAGTAGTATTTCATTGTGTAAGTGTGCAGCAGCCATTGTATCCACTTATCTAGTGGTAGACACTTACTTGGGCTGCTTCCGAATCATGGCAATTGTAAATAACACTGCAGTGAACATAGGGGTGCATATATACTTCTGAATTACTGCTTTGCGTTTCTTTAGATAAATTCTCAGAACTGGAATTGCTGGGTCATGAGGAAGTTCCAGTTTTAATTTTGTGAGATAACTCCACACTGCTTTCCATAGTGGCTGCACCCCCACCAACAGTGCACAAGGATTCCCCTTTCTCTACATCCTCGTCAGTACTTGTTGTTTGTTGACTGATTGAGAATAGTCATTATTTTTTTAAATTTTATTTTCATTGTTGTTCAAGTACAGCTGTCTGTCTTTTACTCCCATCCCAGGCTACCCACCCATCCCTCCCCGCCTCCCTCACTACTTCCCTCGCATTTCCACCCCCAGAGTAGCCATTCTGACAGGTGTGACATGGTGTCTTTTTAAAAGACAGGGTTTATTAGACTACTGCTAGCAAAAAGGAAGGCCGGTCTTGGTATATGGAGTCTAGAGGACTACCAGCAGCGTGGCTAGGTAGAAAATATAACATATCCCTCAGCATATCCCTCAACCAGAGTTTTGCAAGCATTTTTATACATCAGGTAGGGCGGAGAAAGGTGTGAGCTGTTCCAAAAGCAATTACATTAGCTGTAGATAAGGGGAGTGGGAGAAGCTGAGGCAGGGCCCGTTCAGCAGCGTCCATACAGCTCACGTGGAAAACCAGAAGTTGAGCCTCCTGGGGTCAGTGGCATCCGGCCAGTCTCCCTTTTTAGAAATAGCCACCTCGTGGTGATTGCTGGGGAGAGGGGGGTTTTAGTGGTAATGGGGGGAAAAACACCAAGAAAGATTAAACTTAAAGAAGAGAGAAACAGCCACCTGGAAGTTAATTGAACAATTCCAGCACACACTAAGAGGTACGAGCAGTCTTTTCTTGATCTTGCACTGCAGTTGTTACCTGGTAACCCCGCCTCGTCTTTTCCTTCTGCCCTCTGGCCTGCTGTGATTTAATTTAGGACGTGCAGAATTTTCTTTATCAGCTTATTTTTTACTTGGCCACATTACATTTAAGGTTCTTCCCTGTTTTTGTGGCTTGGTAGCTCATTTCTTGTAGCACTTCCTACCCTCTTTCTCCACAGCGTTATTGAGATGAAATTGGCATACAACAAATCACACGTTTTTAAAGAATAGAATTTGATACATTTCACCAGTCAAGATAATGAGCATGTCAGTCACTTAAACAAGTCTTTCAGTCCCTTTTTCCTGCCACCCGTTTCCCAGTTTCAGGCGACCACTGGTTTGCTTTCCATCCCTGTAGATTCATTTGCATTTTCTAGAAATTTATATTGATGGACAATACATTTTTTTGTTTTTTAGGTTTTATTTTTTGATAGAGGGGAAGGGAGGGGGAAAGAGAGGGAGAGAAACATTGATGCGCGAGACATACATTTATTCTGTTGCCTCTCGCACATCCCCAACTGGGGACCTGGCATGCAACCCAGGCTTGTGCCCCCACTGGGAATTGAACCAGTGACCCTTTGGTTTGCAAGCCAGCACTCAATCCACTGAGCCACACTAGCCATGTCTGTTTTATTTTTCTGAGGGAAGAGATGTGGCTTCTTTCATGAAGCACAATTATTCTGGGATCTGTTCCTGTTTCTGCCTGCATTCACTGTGTGCGTGTTGTGTTGATTGGCTGCCGCATAACCTACTCATGTATTCATCTGGTGATGAGCATCTGGGCGGTTCGTTTTGGCCTATTACAAATAAAGCTGCTGTGAACACCAGTGTACAAATCTTTGTCTGTGTAGACATATGCTTCCATTTCCCTTGGGTATAGCTAACTCTCCAGTAAATATTTAATGGCAGGGGACCAAAATATTTTTTATATTTTTAAAAAATTATTAGAAAGTAGGTGTAAGAAACAAAATATCTGTAGAAATACTAAGGTTTGCTAATAGAAATGTCATATTAAGGAATGAAATCCAAATACAGTGTTTGTTTTGGACCCAATCTTAATTTGGGGGAGTCCAATAAGAACTTTACAGTACTTAAATAATTTTAACAGTAGACATAAAATTTCTTTCTTTCCTTCTGTGAAGGCAGTTGAGTCAGACATTATATTTCTGGAATTACATTAAGGATAAAATTGAATGGCTTTATCCTTTAGCTTGAGCTATGACTGCGACTGGTACATAAGTTACAGCCAAGTGTGATGTTACTGGAAAAATCTAAGGAAATGATTTTGTAAGTTTCTCTTTTTTTTTTAAGCAAGAGTTGGGACATAGTAAGCTATGTTTAGTTTCTTACTCATGGAGAACACTCCCAGTAACATCAGTTGTTATTTCCATATCTGTGCAGAGCTATAATCTATTGAGATTTTGGAGGAAATTACTTTTATGTTGTTTTATCTTAGCCTGAGAGCATCAATTAAGGGCTACTTACAAAACATTGCCGAAATTGTAACTACTTATCCAAACAGTTGTGGCTAGATTTCTGCTTAGTGAGTCAACGTTTGTTACTAGGAAAAGGCACACTGACTATAAGAAGGCTGTAGATGCCTATTCTTGCTATATTCTTGGTATATTCTAAGTAGTAGATTGGACGCTTACTAAGTGAACATGCAGTCTCTTTCCAAATGTATTTCAGTTTGCAAATACACAAAACCTGCTATGTGAGACGTGAGGTATTGGGCTGCAGTGAATGAGAATACAGACATTCTGTGATGTTGAACAAATAATTTCTTAAGAGTTTGGTTTCAGAACCTTTGAAATGAAGATTATGCTGGGCTAAAAAGTTTTGTTTTTTCTTTCTAGTGTTTATAGATTTTAGGATATGTTCCTAAGAAAAATAACCATAAGTATATTCAGGTTGCATCCTTTTTTCAGTATGTCCACACCATTGTTTTGTTACATTTTAAGCCTTTTGCGAACAGAAGTGGTGTCCAACTTTGTCTAATGTCCAATGTTATATCTGAGAAAATAGATTCTCAGTTTTGTATTTTGAAAAATCAACACTTTATAAATAGTATTGGTGATATTTGAAGTAATAAATGATGAAGGCCATTGAAATAGTAACTGAAAAAAATTTTTTAAGATTTTATTTATTTATTTTTAGAGGGGAAGGGAAGGAGAGAAGGAGAGAAATATCAATGTATGGTTGCCTCTCGTGAGTCCCATGCTGGGAACTGGCCTGCAACCCAGGCATGTGCCCTGACTGGGAATCAAACCGCGATCGTGTGGTTTGCAGGCCCACACTCAATCCACTGAGCTACACCATCCAGGACTTGAAAAAATTTTTTAACCTTCATAATGTATTTCCTTTGTTTAAAATTATGTCTATTTAGAATTTTCATGTATTAACATGGTATCTATAAAAGTTGATATGTTAATTCCAAGTTAGTGTACTTGTCATTTGTTTTTAAAATATATTAACTCTATGATTATTTTTCATCTTTTAGTTTGTTTTCTGATAAAATGCGTATGCATTTTAATGAGCTAGTAACATTGATTTTAGGAAAATCGGTAATGATACCTAGTTTCATGTATTGAGTTATCCAGTGGATGTTATTTGGCAAATTCATTTTTATGTTGCAATTAAGTGGTGAAATGGGATGGGTTTCAATTTTCTTTCTTACCAAGCAAATTGCTTGATAGCTACACGATCTTAATATGCCACCTTTTTCTTATTTGTAGAGATCCTGCATATTTTGATGAAAATTGGCTAAACAGAATCAAAACAGAAGTGGGAGATAATTGGAGGCTAAAGGTATTATTTTTTTATTTTTCTATCTGTAAATCAATCTTTTATTTCTGTGTGTGTAATATTTGTCGATTTTTGATCACATGTGTCCTGTGAGCTTTAGAAACTTAGACAGTCCATAGCACAATCATCTAGAATTGAAGGCTGGAGGTGACCTGTAACTGCTCCCCCAGATAGCATGTCACTTAGGGAAGCCCAGGGACTGAGGGCCTGGACTCCTGAGCCAGGGTGCCTGTGTCCCTCTCACAGCTTTGCCGTTGACTGTCTGCGGGAACGTCCTTCAGCCCTTCTGTGCCTTGCTTTCCCTGTGTGTGACACAAGGATTGTCATAGAATCCACCTCATAGAAAGAAATGAGTTAATGTATATAAAATACCTAAGGTAGTTAGTTCATGGCATGTGTTATGTTCAATGCTAGTGTTATTAATAATGAGGAAATATTGGGAAATAAACTACCACTTTAGATGAACACATTAAATTTTAAGGCATTCTCATTTTACGTGTTCAAATATGAAAAAAATAACATATTAGAATAAAGGCAGTAAAGTATATTATATATATTTTCCATATTTCCAAATTTTTCTATAAGTATAAACATTCGTTTATGAATTTTTTTTAAATCAAGTTTTCAGTTCTTTTTTCCCTTAAGAAATAAATATGTCTCTGATTAACCACTGGATTGCACTGCTGTGATTCAGCCTCTTTTATTTGATGGCTACAGGCTCCACTGTCTTCTGTCCTAGGACTCTTCAGCTACTAACATGGGCTGGGATCAGCAAGGTAGATGATCAACAGGATCATTTTCTGTGCACATTTAATTTCACACAAATGCAGCCGTATGAGTTGGGCCTAAAAAAAATAATGGCTTAGGATAAATAATGCCAGTGATTCTGCCTGTGTTTTACCGGGATAGCATATGGCCAGTGAACCAATTCTCTGGAGTGAGTGGGTGTTGGGAGACATCTGTGCGTTGGCCTCTCCTGTCTGTTTCTAGGTTGCTCCTTACACTACAGGTGTGTGGCAGTGCAGACCGTTACACTGGCATTTCACGATATAATAGTTTTTTTTAAATGTTATGGGTCTTAAATATTTACTTTGGTGCTCAGTTGAAGAAAGAGCAATCTTTTCTGATGGTGGAGGAATTTGGGGACATATGTTATAGGTAACGTTAAGAGGTTTCCAAGGATAATTTTGACTATAATTTTTGCTTAATGCTTTTAACCTTAGAACTTAACCTCTATATAAGATGCAACTCTACTTTTTTCAGTGCTGTTTATATATTACTTACTTTTATTTTAAGGAAAATAGCACTGAACTCGAGTCTTCATTAAGGATGGTACATTTTTTTCTTTAGCTGCAGAAAATCTGAATAATCTTCCTATTATATCTTACTTAGTTACCTTCCAATTTTTGTCAGTGGTCATAATATTAAAAATTTAACATTACTGGAAGCTTAACTTCTTACATAAGTATATTAGATAAAGTAAAGTAGACCATAGAGAGTCCTTTTTTGGTAATGATGGTAATTCAGACATGCTGTTGAATTTATTTTCTACGTTTACTTTATGATTAACTGATTTGATTAGTTGATTTAGAAATTTTTTGTTAAACTATACTTTGATCTGTATTCATCTTTTACCCAGTTGTTTTCTCTCTCTGAACAGATAAGCAATCTAAAGAAAATTTTAAAAGGAATCCTGGATTATAATCATGAAGTAAGGACTTTTTTTCTCATTCTACTTGGGAATACTACTATGGGATAGTTTAATTTTATAATATTTTACAATAGTTTCATATAAAGGAATAGTTACCTAAAAATTAATAATCCATTTGTCTTCCATTGTACAGGATGTTGGCTCACACAGCCATCTTCCACTGTAACGTGGGTAGTTTGCAGATAAACACTAATTTATGTTAAACTTTACTTTCTGTATCTGTGAATTCTCTCCTTTCGTTCTTTACTTGTGAGTATAGTTTAGGGTCCATGCATCATTATAGTCAACTCCCTGGCCTACTTCCATTTCATTTCTTAGCAAACCTCCATCCCTTGATTAGCTCATTGGCCTCTGAGTCTGCATCAGAACAGTCAAGACATTGCTAGAGGAAAAATCAAGCCGTGGGACTAGTTTTACTTCAGATTTCTAGTGTACACAGCACAACCTAGAAACCTATGTGATTTTCTTACTGGTTTTTTTCCCCACAAGCTTAATGTGCATTTATACCTACATCTATACTTAAATCAAATCATCTACCTTCATCATCACAGTCTGTGACCCTGCCATCCACCCTACTGCTCAAGCCCAAGACCTGCACATCACCCTATAGTCCTTTCCTTCTTTTGCTGTCATCAGCAAGACCTATTAGTTAAACCTCCAAATTAGACCTTTCTCCATCTCTGTTGCCACCGCCCTGCACCAAGCCATCATTATTAGCACTTGCTTAGATTACTAGAGTGGTCAAACTGGTGCCCCTGACTTTACTCTTGCCCACATGCAGACTTTTCTTGGCTATAAAACTATGATGGTTTCTAAAAATATAAATTTGATTGTGTCAGTCTCCTCTAAGTCTTCCATGGTTTCCTATTGCATTTTTAGAATCAAACCCTCCGTACATGAGTCTCCAGGTTCTGCATGACCCCTCTGACTTCTTCTTACACTGCTCTCCCCTAACCCAGACACTGCAGCCCCATTCGTCCTGCTTCTGCACTTTTAGGATTGTCATTTTTCCCGGTACGGTTATCAGTCAGAGACTTACCCATTTGTCTGCATTGTAAGTCATTTCATTTGGGCCACTCAATTTCCCCATAAAGTAAACTTCCGTTCTCCTTGCTGATATAGGTGTCTTGCTATCAGCATTTTGGAGTCAGATGGAGTGAAGATGGCTAGGAAGACTCTTACCATTGGGGACATAAACCTGTATTTCATCTCTGCCCTTTCTGGTGCCCTAGTTTAGAACCTCACTGGCTCCACTTCAGAGAATACACATCCAGTTTCTCTGGGGGTGATGGAGGGGTCAGTAGTACTCACTTTCTTTGCTATGTGTACATACCGCATACCAGATTAGGGCCTGGCTTGAATCAGGATAGTTATTACCTAGGTTTCTGAGGGGTAAAAATAGAAATTGGGAGTGAGATTGACATGACAGTTCTGTCCTTAGCAGTGAGTTTCTGTTGCTGACAGTTTAGTCTCTGTCAGATACTATATTTGTTCATATAAACGAGTGCATGTAAATGCAATTCTAATCCTTTTATCTCCATTCAGGTTTTAGGACAGCAAATTAATGACTTTACCCTTCCTGATGTGAACCTTATTGGGGAGCATTCTGATGCTGCAGAGCTCGGAAGGATGCTTCAGCTCATTTTAGGCTGCGCTGTGAACTGTGAACAGAAGCAAGGTAATTTATCTGAAGTTAGTGTATGCATTTAAAATAATAACAAAAGCCCTGGCCAGGTGGCTCAGTTGGTTAGAGCATTGTCCCAATACAACCAAGGTGGTGTGTTCAGTCCCTGGTCAGGGCACGTACAGGAATCAGCCAGTGAGCGCATCAGTGAGTGGAACAACAAATCGATGCCCTCCCCTTCCTTACACTCTCTGTAAAAATCAATTAAAAAATAAGAAAGTGATATATAGTAACATAAAATATATAAAGATATGTAATATGTAAATGTGTTCATAAATATCTATTTAATATATATTCAGTAGTATATTCAAAAGTGATATGTGTTGTATGTTTTATTTATAAATCACCAGTTATAGACAATAACATCTTTGAAAGGCTGTCCTAAAAAAATGACATTTTTTCTGATTTTGTTGGTTTCAAGCTTAGAAGGGTTTTTACACATTAGGATAAATTTGATTATGATGATATGCTTTCCATTTCAGCAAGACTACATAATTCTTTAAGTAGATTATTTCTAACTACACCAATGAAATGAAATTTACTTTTAATTGGGTAAGATCCAGCTGCATTAATTAATTAATATAAATAATGATCTACTGGATCAGTTAGTCTTTTGGGACTTAAAATTAGATAATTTAGATGGCAAGATGAAGGATTTACTTCACAAATATTTGCTGAACTTATGCATTATGCTGGGGCTAGGAACGCCATGTCAGACAAGGCAGGCGTGGTACCTGCCCTCCTGGAACGTGTACACGCATGGAGGTAGTGGGCAGTGCACAGGGCTGCACAGAGCCAGGTAGTCTGAGCGGTGGCGAGTGCTGTGAAGGTAAAGCACAGTGGGGGACAGTCTGGGCTTGGGTCAGGGAAGTTATTTAAGCAGAGATACGGCGAATATGGGTTACGAGTAATCCGAGTATTGGAAACTGAGGGTCAGAACGACCTAAGTTACCTTTGAGGGATTGGAAACCAACAATAATTAGGGAATAGTGAGGAGGATGAAGGGAGATGAAGCAGGACAAAGATAGGTAGGGACTATTCTAACTGAGGATGACAGTGTGTTATTTCTATTTCCGTGACCTTTGAAGGAGATGGATTTTTTTTCAAGCCCAAAAGTGTTTCTCTTCTTTGTCGTACCCCACCTCTAGTAATACAAAACAGATCTTTATTAACTTGCTGTTATGCTTTTTTTGGGCATGCTAAGTTTAATAGCAGTCAACATTTTTTTTTAAAGCTCTGACTAGTTTTATTGGTTTCTGATTCAGGAATTTTTTCTAACAACGTATTTCTCTGTAGCCCTATGTCTTTGATATTTTAGCATGCTGCGCTCTTACAGGAAATTTTAGCTTGTTTATTTAGTTTAACTCATGAATTAAAATAGAGAATTATCTACATTTTGATTTTTGTGTATTACTGAAATGCCTCACAAGTTTTTGTCAAAGATTAGAAGATTGCTATAAATAGTATTCAAGACATTAAATATCTAAGTAGTTGCTTTGATTTTGAAAGGTGGATGAGATGTTATTTAATGTAGTTCATTGAATTCAGATAATAGCTTCTTTTTGAAGATTTTTATTTATTTAAATTTAGAAAGAGAGAGAGAGAAACACTGATGTGCAAGAGATATATCAGTCATAAACCCCCTCCCCCATTGGGGACCTACCCGGCAACTCAGGCACATGCACTGACTGGGAATTGAACCAGTGACCTTTTGGTTCACAGGTCTGCATTCAGTCCACTGAGCCACACAAGCCAGGACTCATAATAGTTTTTTAAATATTTATTCTGTAAGAAGAGTCATCAGCTCTTGGGATTATCCTTAGTACATAGGGTCCTTGGAAGTGTGTAGCTAATCACATAAAAAAGTAAGAGTAGGAAAAGACAAAGATGTTACCTATATCCATATTCCTATGGAAAAGAAGACATTTATAATATTTATTGAACTTCTCACACAGATCAAGAGTTCTGTTTAAAATGTACTTTCAGGTTTTTTCCCTGAAATTATGTTTAAATGTTGAAAACTTTGAACAGCATCTTAACATCTCATTTATCCACAGGCCACTTCTCCGCTCTCTGCAACACAGAGCTAAGAATTAAATTAAATGAATTTCTGAATTGTTTGGGAACTTCCCAAACTGGAGCAAATAAATGGTGGAAATTTGAAGAAAGAGACTAGTAGTAGAAAACACACTGATAAAAATGTGTTTACTGAGTGTCTTCTTTCTGCTGGGTACTCTAGTAGATGCTACAGAACAAAAAACACTGTGTACAGATTAGGAAATTAGGACTATGAGTTACCCAGGATCTTTGGCTTGTGAGAGGCTAGGCAAGGACAAAAGCCCGTAACTCTTCCCCATTCAGACTTAATACTCTTTATACTGAACTGTGCTGGAAATTTTGGACCTAAAAGATCAGTTTTTCAGGATCAACTCCCTGACATAGCAAACCTCATTCTTCAGCATTGCCTCATTGGTCTGCACCAAGTAATCATACATTCTTGTATTTGGACTTCTAAGATTTGTAAATTATTTCTCCAAAATTGTACATTAATGTAGTTATCATCATCATTTGTCATTTAGCATTTTACGGTGTTCGCGGGGAAGGGCCTTGACGTGGCAACACCGCTTCTTAACTAACGCTTCCCCTCTCACACCTTACTAATGACTCCCGCACCGCCCTGTTCTCACTGTTACTCTCTTTACTCCGGTAGGCTGTCGTTGAGTTCTCCTTCCCCATTGTCAGTGCCACTGCTTCTTCTCTTCCATGTTCACAGTCTTTTATTTTGAGGGTTGTCTAGTCATTCTAGCTGTACCACTTTCTCCAGTAGCCTTGGCATTCTGTGTTTTGTCCCTTCGAACAGAATATCTAAACACACTCCCTCAAATTTCAACACTCACAGGATGCTCCTCATGAACAAGACAGAAAATTGAACTGAGATGAAAGGATTGTTTTTTTTCCTAAATAGTGGTTATGACAATATTTCTACTTTTGGTCTAAGAACAATATCTGTGATTTAAGTGTGTTGTGTATGTTTATTTAACCACCTATTTGATTGGGTATAAAATGTCCTTAGGACAGTACTTCTTTAAAAACATGCTTTTGATTAACTAATAGCTTTGGCATTCAGAAACAGAATGTCAATATCATAATTTAATAGCATGTCAAAATTCTTTTTTTTTAACAAGTTACCTATCAAGCAAAGGATTACTGTTTGTCATTCCAAAGTGATGAGTCTCTTGCCAAAAGGTCACTTTAACAATTTCACTGTAAGAATCCTTCATGTAATGTTACTTAGAGTGCTGAGATAAGTTTTTGGTGTTTGTTTTTGGATATATGGCAGGTTGGGGCTAAAATTTCCTAATTATTTTACCCTTTTAACTGTTTCTTATTAAAATATATTTACCCTATTTGTTGGAATCCAGCTGACCTATTGATTTTTTTTTCATTAATGTCACTTTTGTCATCCATTATTGGATTTGGAAATAATAATAACTACTTCCAGGGCTTTTTTGGAAGGCAGTTTTTTTCAACTTTATCACTGCAGACAACCAGGAGAGCTTTTTCTTTTTCCACAGTGATGAGGGTAAGATTGGTAAAGTAGGTGCTTGAGCTCATTAGAGGTATGAATCGTTGTTTTAAAGCCCAGAGTCATCCAATAACCGTTTACCTGTGATATCAATTTCTATCTTAATCCTCATTCCCCTGAGCAGCTCTCAGGTCCATTAAGGTTTTTCTTTTCCGTAGAAGAAAATATTAATGTTAGAATTATATACAATTCAATGCTTTTTATGTCACATAAGAATAAAGCACAGGCTTCAGAATGGATTTAACATGTAGCAAACAATAATGGGCAAGTAAGATAATTTTTAGATTTTCAGAATAGTGATAGTAGTTTTATCCACCCTGGCTTTAGGCTTTACCATTTCATTGTTTTACATTCCTAGGCTCCTGCATTCCTGTGACCATTAGCTGGAGCCTCAATTTTATAAGGAATGGACGGGGATGGGTTTGGGTGATCTATTGAGGAAAGATAAACACTGTGATTTGCATCCTTTACCTATGGCACATACGCTCAGTCGTATATGAGGAATGGGTAGGAAGAATCAAAACATTGGAAACTACTTACAAGAGCACGTGAAGTGTAAGCCTTGAACTCCTTTGACTATCTTAAACTTGAACAATGACATTCCAGATTGTTCTTGTTTCAGAGTACATCCAAGCCATTATGATGATGGAAGAATCTGTTCAACATGTTGTCATGACAGCCATTCAAGAGGTACGTTGGAGCTTTGTGCTTACAGTTTGTGATACATGAAAGGAGCAAACATGATTTTAAATAGAGGTGGAGTTGTGGCTGGAGTGGCTCAGTGGATTGAGTGCAGGCCTGCAAATTGATGCTTTGCCATTCTGATCTCCTGGCAGGGCACATGCCTGGGTCGTGCCTGGGTCGCAGGCCAGGCCCCCAGTAGGGGGTGTGCAAGAGGCAACCACACATTCATGTTTCTCTCCCTGTCTTTCACCCTCCCTTCCCCTCTCTCTAAAAATAAATAACTAAAATCTTTAAAAAAAATAATAAAACAGACTACCCTAAAAGTCTTGGAAAAAATAAATAAATAAATAAATAGAAGTAGAAATTTTCTAAAAGATTCTCCTTTTACAAGAAAATTTTCTTTTAGACTTATGATACAGCTTGTCTCATTTTTATTAAAGAAAATCATTCTCATTTAAATTTCTCATTTTTATTTAAATCTTAAACATTTATCTTGCAGGTATAGATATTCAGTAACTATTCCTGATTTTTAAAAATATCCTAATGAACTAGTAATTGTAGACTAATTCTCAAAGCCAGTATCAATAATTTCTGCCTTTAACCAACAGTCTACATCAGACTTAACTGTTGATTTCTTATTTGGTAGAAAATGGGTCTTCAACTCCAACTGGACCTGAAGCAATTTCTTTTTTTTGTTCTTTTTTTTTTTTATTCTCACTCTTGGACATTCTTACTGAGTCTTTATTTTTAGAGAGAGGGGCTTCTTGTACACACCCCAACCAGGGATCGAACCCAAAACCTAGGTAGGGTGCGCCCCGACCAGGAATCGAACCCATGACCTTACAGTATGCAGGACTTTGCTCCAACCTACTGAGCCACAATGGCCAAGGTAAAGAACTTTCTAAGTGAATATTTATATTGAAACTACAGACGAGGGGAAATGTCTTTTTAATTTGCCCTTTCAAGTTCTCTGCTGGGGCCTCTGTAACAAAAGATGTGTTAAGAGAAAAACATACAAATTTATTTAATACAAGTTTTAAATGACACAGGAAGCTTTATAAGGAAATTAAGACCAAGGAAGTATTTAAACCTGAATGTTTTGATGCTAGGTTTGATGAAGAGTGGAGATTCATGGAAAAATGTAATGGGCAAGAAGGATTTAAGCCAAGTTTAGTGAACTGGGGGAAACAGCAAGTGCTGTTTCACTCAGATTCCTTTTGGCAGCTCTCTGTCTTTGGAGATGAGGGTGCTGCTCTTCTGAGTCTAGAAAAGGCACCTCTCACATGAGGGGTTCATGACCTACTTCAGGGAAGGTCAGGAGAATCCTTCCTGTACTCGCTGCTTCTCACGTTCTTTCTGTTTGAAATATTCTATATGCCAAGGTGCCATATTTGGGGGTAGCATGTCCTGAACTCCAGCAAATGTGAAACAAAACTATAAAAGTAAAAACAAAATATAGATTAATAACTGGTTGATTCAGGATTTGAGAATGTTTTTAATCATAAAAGCAACGGAAGAAATTCTTAAGGAAACTAGGAAACAGAGGGCATAGATATACAGTTAACAGAAAAATATAACAGACAAATGAAAAATGCTAAAGGCTGATTAAAACAAAATATTTTTTAAAGTGCTGACCAATTGACAACACATTTGGGAATTCCCGCTACCCCTCAGGTTTGAGAATTCGTTACACTGATTAAGAACTCAGGAGGGATGACAGTTTCATTACAGCAAAAGGATACAAATCAGAACTAGCCCCACCCACCCCCAGTGCACAGAGTGAGGGTTTCAAATGCAAACTTCTTGCTGTCTCTTGCCGGCAAAATCAAGACATGTGACCATTCCAGCACATTAATGTGTGACAGTATGCAGAGTACCATCAACAAGGAAAGGTCTCCTGAGTCTTCACATCCAGAGTTTTTATTGGGGTTTTATTATGTAGGCATGATTGATTGGCCATGAGGTTGAACTCAGCTCCACTCCCTTCCCTCCCCAGAGGTCAGGCCGATCCGAGGTGGATCACAGCCCCAATCCTCTAGAGCATGGTCGGTTCTCTGAAGTCCTCTCCTCCCCTCTGTAGTACCTGGGGGCCCTGCATGAATTACAAAGACACTTTTCATCAGTCGGGAAGTTCTAGAGCTGGAGAGGCCATCTGCTGCCAAGACCAACCAACCAACTTTTTATTGTACGGGACCTTGTGAAAAAGCAGAGCTTTTAAAAGATCGTTTTGACATTTAGTACTGGTGCATTTTTTAAAAATGTTATGCTCTTATAGAGATACAGGTCATGGGTGTCAGAATATCAAAATGGTGACCAACCCAGCAAGCTGTAACTGTAATTTACTCTTAAGAGGACCTGGGTTGGCTCTGTAGTCATCAGAAACCCAGCCTTCTTGTAGTTAATTGTTGCTTTTTTTATTTTTTAGAAAATTTTTTTCTTTTCATTGATTTTTATTGGGGGTTGTACTGGTTGACAAAATTATATGGGTTTCAGGTGTACAATTCCCCAACACATCATCTGTACGCTGTATTACGTGTTCACCACCCCAAGTCATGTCTCCGCTCACCCCCCCACACCCTTCTCCATCTCCCCCCAGCAATCAGCACACTGCTGTCCGTGGAGCTTTTGCCAATCTTTAACATGAGTCCCACGATGTGGTTGAGCTATGGCTTCTCAACGTGCAGTTATCATGAACATTTCCACCTGGCAGGACGGATTGAAGGAAGGGTTATCCACCCCCTCTAAATAAATTGTCAGTAATCCTCATTCCTATTGGACAGATACAACTCATATAGCCACACGGGGTCACTGGGAAACATGGTCTTTATTCCAGGTGGTCATAGACCCAGCCAAAATTTGAGGTTTCTGTTAATTAAGCAAAAACAGGAAAAAAGAGTAAGGGGCCACTAACAGTTTTTCTTCCTTACTGTGACTGACCCTCAATCACAGTAAGGAATTTTAGGAATTTATCCTAAGGAAATCTGAAATACAAAGATTCATAATAGTAACATTAAGAGCAAACATTTATCTAGCACTTAAAATGTGCTAAATAGTGCTGGTACTTAACTAAGCACATAACATTTATTAACTCATTTAAAATTCATTACAGTTTTAATTAATGTTACTGAAATGTACACTTAAAAATTGTTAAAATGGCAAGTTTTATGTTATGTATATTTTACCACAATAAAAAACTATTAACTACAAGTCTTGAGGTATGCACTGTTAATGTCCCCATTTTATAACAGAGAAAACTGAGGCCTAGGCCGTGTGAGCAGCTTGCTCAGGTCTGCACACGGAGTAGGAGGAGCAGAGTCAGAACTCACATCTGAGGTGTCTGCATCCAGAGTTCAGACCCTTAACCACTCTGTTGCATTGCCTCAAGATTGTTTATTTTAGCATTTTCTAGTTCTGAAAAATTAAACCTGAGTGCCCAGCAATAGAGGAATGGATAGATTATGGTACAATAATATATTAGCATATTATGTAGACATCAGTTTTTTTGTTTTACTTATTTATGCATTCATTGCTTGATTTTGTATGTGCCTCGACAGGGAATTGAACCTGCTACCTTGTTATATCAGGGTGATGCTCCGACCAGCTGAGCTACCCGGCCAGGGCTAAAGCATGTTTTTGAAACATATATAATGACATAGGGGAAGGCCTGTAATATTTAGGGAGATGGAGCACATGGGCAAGAAAATGCCATTTCTGTTAAAAATTTAAATTAAGATGAGTGAAAACAACTTTGCTAAAGTTTTAATCATCGCCAAATAGTAATATTCTATACTTTTTTCTGTATTTGTTAGTTTTTCTATAGTAACAGGTATTAGATCTATGATCAGTAATATTTTTAAAATCTGGGCCCTAGCTGGCATAGCTCAGTGGATTGAGGGGCAGGGGATGCATGGAGGCACATGTCCTTAATTTTTTCTGGGACTAAATTTTGTTGTTGTTTTTTTTAATTCTATGACTGTAGTCCAAGGAATTATTTAGAGATTAAAGACAAAGATGGGGCACAATGGTGTTTATTAAACTATTTTATATTAATGGAAATGTAAAAAAAGTCTATCCTTTGGTAAGCAGGTGTTTAAAATATGGTACTTTGATTCCATGGAATATTATATAGCTGATAGAAATTTATAAAAAGGGGGAAGGTTGTCTTATAACAAAGAGAAAACATTTAAAATGTCAAGTGAGCAAGTCAAAATATAAAATTTGTACAATTAGATTTTAAGAATAGGTTATATGTTAACTGTGTGCATAGGCCTTTTATTTATGTAGTGAATACTCACTGAGCACCTAATGTGTACAGGAGCTGTAACAGATAGTGTGCATACAACTATGAAAAAGTAGACACGGTGTCATGACTCATGGAGTGGAGGTTTCATGGGGAAAATGGCTAAACAAGTAATTCAGATACATTCAAAGCATTCACAGGGAAAGTGCCATGACAGGAAAAAACAGCAGTACCTCAAGGGAGTGTCTAACTCAGGCTCAGGATATTAGGGAAGGCTTTTCAGAGGAAGTGGCATCTAGACTAAGCACAGGATGAATAAGGTAAGGAAGGTGCAAAAATTGTTCTAAAGTCCAGGAGACAAGAGAAAGCAAGACCTATATTCCATGTTGTGGGTATTAAAAAAGAATGCCTGTAGCAAACATTTTAAGGTACAAATAAGAGATGAAACAAGAGACATGAGATCATTATTAAGATATTGAGCAGTTTTGTTAAAGGAGTTGGAATTTTGGGAAACGACTAGATTTTAAGGAGAAAAGAGATTGAAGTCTGTACCTGAGAAAATTGGTTCCGTGAGAAGAATGAATCGAAGGAAAAGAAGGCTGGTAAAAGGAAGAACAGTTAGGAAACCTTAGTAATTATCCACTGAAGAATGATGGGATCCTACCCTGGCTCGTGTGGCTCAGTGGATTGAGTGCCAGTCTGTGAACCCAAAGGTCACCAGTTCAATTCCCAGTCAGGGCACTTGCCTGGGTTGCAGGTCAGGTCCCCAGTAGGGGGCAGCTGAACAATGTATCTCTCGCACATGAATGTTTCTCTACCTCTCTTCCTCCCTCCCTCCCTTCCCTTCTCTCTAAAAAGTAAATAAATAAAATCTTAAAAAATAAAAATAAAAAGAGAATGATGGGAGCTGAAGTGGGTTATAGCAGTTAGGGTGGAGTTAGGATAGAGAGAAGGGGATGAATTTGAAAATTATCAGCACTTGAATCAATTGGCTTGGTGACTGATTGGACTTAGGAGGTGGACAGGGGGCAGCTGGATAAAATTATGGGATTGAGGAAGAGCTTTTTAAAAGACTTTATTTATAAAGGCACATTCTATTTATATGTGTTTATTTTTTATTGTAATAAAGTGATCTGCTTTCTGTCTGTGGATTTCCCTGTTGTGGATATTTCATTGGATACATACCCTCTGGTGCCTGGCTTTTTTCATTTAGCATAATGCGTTCAAGGTTGTGTGGTATCATGTACCAATATTTTGTTCCTTTTTTATGGCCGAATAATATTCCATTGTATGAATGTTAGTATACACACCACATTTTGTTTATGCATTCATTCAGTTGATGGATAATTGGGTTTTTCCCACCTTTTGGATACTGTGATGTTGCCCACCTTTATTCTTTAGAAATACTTAGTGCTGTCATTTTTTACTGAAAAGTCCATGTTTTTAAATATTAAGCCACATCTTTAACTGAAAGCCTTGTCTTTTTAGTGATACGAGTAAGTAATACTTGATTGTTGTGAGTAGGCTTACAGAAAAAAATGAGCATCAGAATTTAGACCAGTGATTTTTAAATGAAGGCATTATCTTGGAGTGAAAAAACAAAGTTCCAGATTAGAAAGCTTTATAGGAAAATATTTCATTTACATTTGTGTTTTCATTTTAATTTTTATAATTCTACAATGGCTGGGTGTTCGTGTTTGTTGTGTAAGTATATTATATAGAATGACTTTTTTGCTTCATAGTTATAACCATTTAAATCTTCACTTAATTTCAGCTGATGAGTAAAGAATCTCCTGTCTCTGCTGGAAATGATGCCTATGCTGACCTTGATCGCCAGGTATCTAATTTTGCGTTGTTTTTATCCATGCAAAGGTTGAAATGGATAAAGTTTGAGTGTTAATGAAAAGGATGTTTCATTGGAAATTGCTTATGGAATATATTGGCATAATTCTTTATTTTTTACCAAAAATTTAAGAACTTAAGCCACTTTACTTATGGATATTATATATTTGTAATTAAGTTTGTAATTTGTAAGTTAAGTATTATTCCTAATGTACTTTAAATAAGTTAACTTATTTAATTTTTTGTAATTTGTGTTTCTTTTTATATGCCACATTTAACGCAATAGATGCTTTTCTGGTAAATCGCATGCATTTTCCATTAGCATAAATAATCTCTTGATTATTTATGATAAAAAGACAGTTTACCTTGCCCTGGCTGGTGTGACTCAGTGGGTTGGAGCATTGTCCTGCAGACCAAAAGGTCATGGGTTTGATCCTCTGTCAAGGCACATACCCAGGTTGCAAGTTCAATTCCAGTTGGGGTGCATATGGGAGGCAACTGATTGATGTTTCTTTCTCTCTCCCCCTTCCTTTCTTTAAAAGCAATGAAAAAAAATTTACTCAGGTGAGGATTAAAAAAAAGATAATTTACGTTTTATTTCACATTATTCTTCAGTTTTAAACTGCCTCCTCTGCCCTTCATACTTAAATGCACTAAGGAACTTAGTCCTACATTTTTAAAGGAACTCTGCAGTGTGTTTTCATGGGTTTAATGGAAAGGTACATTGTTAGTTTCTATGTTCCAGCTACTCTGGGAAATCTGTTTCCAAAGCATGGGCAGAAATCTTTGTGATCTTTGTCTCCTTTCATTTTTTTTCCCCATAGTTTATAAATATTTTGCAGGAAAATCTTTGGACATGCTATAATTTTAATCCAAGTTGTAATTTGTCTTTCTCTTGTTTTGTGGTGTGTTTGGTTTTAAAGTTGGTTACTGTGAATGAATTTTTTTTCTATCCGTGTTACACAGAGGTTTGGTCACATGAAATGAAAAGCTAGTATCATTTTATTTTAATCCATTTTTATTTTTAAAATTAAGAGATTAGTTTATTATAGTTAATTTGTTTATACTTTGCTAACTTAGACTTTATATAATAATGGGACACAACTCAGGAATGTTTGGTTTGTGCTGAGGACTATAATAATAAAAGTATTTTATTTTAGAACTGATATACAAATTAACATAAAGGTTTAGTGTGACTAAAAACTTGTATGGAAACGTACTAGCTGTCTATTTTAACAGTCAAAACCCCTGTCTTCTAGCTCATGTGTACTTTACTAAGGTAGAGTTTCTCAGCTATTACAGTCAGCATTGCCCAGAGCCAAGCAGCCCAGGAAGAAGATGTGTAAGAAAAGTTGGTTATGAGGAAAGAACAAATTGAGGTACAGAAAAGACAAGATTTAGAACTGAAAGGTATTCAGAGTTAAAGTGCCTTCTTTTGACTCCTACACAGAAGAGTTCTTGATTTCTCCCTGTTCCTCACAGAGAAAAGGGAGACAGTGTTTAATTCCATATGTAAGTATTGATTGCTGCCACTTCATATTGAAATATTTATTGTATATCTTGGTTTTTAACTAGTTGAAGAAGACTACAGAGGAACTGAATGAAGCTTTGTCAGCCAAGGAAGAAATTTCTCAGCGATGCCATGAATTGGATATGCAGGTAGGAGGTCTGTTCTGTGCCTCACCTGTTTGAAATGTACTGCTGTAAACACATAGAACGTACCGTGTACTGCCACATAGCACAGTATGTCCACCGTGCCACCCCAGTTAAAGAAAAGAAAAAAAGGAAAATAGAGTTCTGGCTAAAGATAGTAGACTGAACAAATACTTAATTTCCTTTACTGAATGTTTTAACCATCAGCTTGGTTATAGCTAACAACAGCATACCACCAGTCTTCATCTATCTCTGAAAGCCAGGAGGCAGTTGGAAAAGTCCGAAATGGTTAGAAGGAGTAAAGAATGTAGTGGCCAAGAACAGGCCACTGGGAGAACACGCTCTGGGAGAGAAGGGCAGGGAGCTGCTGTAGCAGAGCCCCAGGGCTGAGTGAGGCTACAACTGTAGGTTTTATACAGAAGAGCTAAGCCCCATCAACCCGGTCATCCACTGCATAGAATGATCTCTAGCCAGCTTCCCAGTCAGAGGGGTTCTTTCTAAAGAAATTAAACAGAAGCATAGGGAGGTTAGACTGAGTATTAATCTGCAGGGTGAGGTCCTTTTCTTTTTGTTTTTCCTTGGTTCTCTAGTTTATATAAAGGCCAGCTTCTTGTAGATAATATAGCCCTAAACTGAAGCCTAGGAATGCATATAGCTTCCATTTACCCTTGCTGTTGACTAATTCTTAAATGTGAGGCAAATCTGAGAAACAAAAGATAAAAGGATCAAGATAGGAGACTGGCTAGAGAGGAAGTGGAGAAATTTGAGGTAGAGTCTGCCTTTTAATCTATTTAATACTGTCAGTAAAATTAGCGATATGTCATCTGTAAAATAAGGACAAGGTGCAGTTTTAAAAAAGAAAAATTAGAAATCAAGAAACACGTAAGTAAATTTAAAATAGAATTGTAAAAATAAAAATCAATAGAATAGTTAAAGTTGAAGAAATCCCTCACAAATAAAGAAAATAAGAAATAAATTTAGAATTACCTCAAAATCAGGCAGGTGGGGAGAATGTGTCCAAGTCTAGATTAAACGTCATTGACCATGTTTTGATACTTATTATAGCTGGGTAATGGGTACGCAGAATTCATAGTATTTTATACTAGAAGTATTTTACTTTGAGTTGGTCCTTGCTTTGGATGCACATAGGAGGTAGTAAAATCAACGTACGCTTGGATTATGTAGTAAATATTAATATGTCATGATGTAAGTGCTATTAATTGCTTTACAGATTTTAGAATTTCACTATACATAAATGCTAAGAGTTACAATAAAAACTGAGTTAATTTAACAAGCAGAATATAAAAATTATCTCTCATAGTATAAAATTAAAGATGTTTTCATAAACCCGGTTTGACTACATTGCAGCCACACGCCTACATCGATGTGTTCATTGTCTGTGGTCGCTTTCATGCTCCGGTGACAGAGTTGAGCGCTTGCCACACTCATTACGCAGCCGGCTCCTTCTTGTCATCCAACCTCAGCTCAAACCACCTGATTTATTTGTCATAAATCATTTATTGGGCTCTCAGATGTGCCAGGTACTAAATTAGGCCTCCTTGAGAAGTCCTTCCATGGTCAGCCAATCTGAAGTAATCACCCAGACTCTCATGTTACTCTTATTTTAACCCTCTGCATACACTTTTACTCTAGTTTTAGGGTGTGTTTATTAGTTTACTTAATATGCTTTGTTTATATAGTGGCTGTGATTTGTTTTAAGTGAATGAGGGAATCACCTAGAAGATTGCAGCAGGGCCTGACGTGTTGTAGGCACACGAGTATTTGAGTTCATGAATGGTGGGCAGTTCAGTGAAATGGGCCAGTGAGTAGTGGTTTAAAATTGTAGAAGTGACCAGTGAAGGAATATCTCAACAGGGAGCTAGCTTTTCACTCTAAGCCCCTTTGCCTTGTTTGATTTGTTTTCTTAAATCATGTTTATGTATTATTTTTAACTAATCTCCTTTTTCTGGGTTTCTGAAAAGGATTTCTGTCAAATATATTGAATTAAAATATTTTAGCAACATTTGCTAGTCTGATAAATTTAGTATTAAAGTTTTGCGTTGTACACCTAGCCTTATAGACCACAAGTTATAAAACACTTATTAATAAAATTTCAAATAATCTGTGCCTTTAGATCATGCTCTGTGGCCAAGATGCAATTAAAATCAGAAATTAGTAGCAAAAAAATGAGTTGTTAAAATTTAAGTTTTCATGCCTTAAATGTTTATTTAAAAAAGAGTGAAAGAGAAGAAATGAATGAAATAGACCAGAGGCATAGAATAGAGCCGTGGCTCTATTCCCAGAATATTCTCATGCATTTATGGAAATCTTATAAATTATGGAGCTGGCATTTCAGATTCATTAATTTATTCAATAGACATTTACTGATCACCTACTGTGTACCATCCACTGTTCCAGTTGCTGTAGATATAGTGAAGATCAGGGGTGGAGAGATAGACAAATAAATCAAATATTCTTGTCCCCAGGATGTTCACAATTCTAGTAAGGAAGACAGACAATAAACAAAATAAGAATATAGTCTTAAATGGTGATAAATATTCTAGAGGGGAAAAAAAAAAAACCAGATGAGGTAGAACAGGGAGTCCAGGATAGGAAGAATTAGTAGTTTTGAATTTAGTCAATACAGGTGCCCCAGAGAAGGTGACATGTTAGTAAAGTCCTAGAGGTTGTAGGAGCAAGCCTCCCAGGAAGAGTATTTATTACCTGCCCAGCACAGGCCCTGATGTGGGAGTGTGGCTGGTATATGCAGAACACAGCAGGAAGTCAAGGATGGCAGAAGTGGAAGGGAGTGTGGAAGGAGGAAGTCAGGCTGGTGAGGCCTTATAAGCTTTTATAAAGACTTTGAGTAAATGAGAAGCCGGTGGAGGATTTTGAACAAAGCAGTCCTGTAATCTGAGTTTGCTTTAATGGAGTGCATTTGTTTTGCTCCTTGGAGAACAGAGTATAGGGAAGAGAGGACCAAATCAAGGAGTCTAATTAAGTGGCCGCTGCAGTAATCCAGGCAAAAAATTATGTTGGCTCAGGTCATCAGAATTTAGGGCTGGTGAGAAGTGGTCAAAATATGTTTGAGGTAGAGCCAGTATTTGCTAACAGATTAGACATGGTGTGATGGAAAGATGTTAAGGCTCACGACTGAGCAACCGGAAGGACAGAGTTACCTTTTACTGAGATGGGAAAGACTGTGGAAGGACTGGTGCTGGGGGGTTGGAGTAATTAAGGGTTCAGTTTAGACCATTTAAATTTGAGATGCCTGTTAGACATCCAAGTAGAAATGATCTCCAGTTCAGGGTTCCAGGCTAGAAATAGAAATGTGAACGTTGTCAGTGAGTAGATGTGGTTACAGCCATGAAACTGGAAGCTGTCACTGTCCTTAGAAAAGCTGTCAGGTGCTCTCCTAGCAGGGGAATTAGGAACTGACTTGAGAAAGGGAAGGTGAGACTAGTGAATTGGTACAGAAGCCCAGAGAGTAAGGTATCCTGGAAGCCAAGTGAAGAAAATATTTCAAAGAGGACAGAGTTGATCAGTTGCGTCCAACGTTCCTGAAGGATGGCAGTGACCTGGAAGTCAGTAGTGACTCTGATGAGCAGTTTGGTGGGATGGTAGGGCCAAAAGCCCAACTAGAACCAGTTCAGAAGGAAACGGGGGCTGGAGAGGGAGAATTAGAAATGGCAGGTTAGTTTGGTTTGTACAGCTACTGTATTGAGTTATAGTTACATACAGTAAACTACTCAGATTTAAAATGCACAATTTTGATACATGTTGATATGTGTATGAACATGTGAAATCACCACATTCGATATATGGAACCCATCACCCCTCTCCAGTCCCCAGCTCTTCTTTCAACTACTATAAATTAGCCTGTATCTTCTAGAATTGTATATAAAAGGAATCATACAGTGTATACTATTATTTTCTGTCTGGCTTCTTTTGTTATCTTGAGATTCATTCATGATGTCAGTATCAATAGTTAATTCCTTTTTAATTGTGAAATAGTGTTCCGTTGTTTGGATATTCTGCAGTTTATCCATCCACTTGTTGGTGAACATTTGTGTCTCTAGTTTATTACACTTGAAGCTGCTATAAACATTTTTTCGAAGTCTTTGTGTAGATGTATAGTTTTATTTCTCTTAAGTAAATACCTATGAGTAGAATGTCTGGGTCCTGTGATAATTGCATTAATTTTTTAGGAAAGGGCAAAACTGTTTTCCAAAGCACTTAAAACATATTATAGTCTCACCAGGAGTGTGTGAGCCTTTCATTTGAGTTTTTGAGTTCTGGTACATTGAGTTTTTCTAATTTTAGCCATTGTAGTCAAAGTGTATTGGTATAACATTGAGCTTTTAATTTGCATTTCCTTTCAGCTAATCATGACTGTCTTTTTGTGTGCTTAGTTGCTATCTATATATCTTTGTTTAATTGCCTTTTCAGATTTAAAATAATGAGTTTGTGCTTACTCTTATATATTACTCTGCCTGTGCAATATTCCAAAAGAACATACGTGTTTTAAGTGGAGGTTGATTGTACTTTTAAAAAGTACATTTTAATTCATAAGGGTAATTCATGGGCAGTTACGCCAGTGCCAGTGTAACTGGAAGAAATAACTCTTGTCTTCCTGTATTCTAACAGGTCGCAGCATTGCAAGAGGAGAAAAGTAGTCTATTGGCCGAGAATCAGGTATTAATGGAAAGACTTAATCAATCTGATTCCATAGAAGATCCTAACAGTCCAGCAGGAAGAAGGCATCTGCAGCTCCAAACTCAATTAGAACAGCTCCAAGAAGAAACATTTAGGTAAAAGACCAGTCATAAAATCTGATTTTTAAAAACTTGATAACTGTTTTTTAAAATTAAGACTGTAGTTTTAGGATTTCCAGGTAGCTACTGACCAAGGACACTGTGTAATAAACAACTTCCCCAGAATCTTTCCACATGACATGGAATAACTTCATGTCCAGGAACAGTTCTGTCAAAGCTACACCTTCGATGTTACTCAAAGACAGAATGCTGCAACTGAAATATAACTGAGTGAAAGGAAGAAAACAAACACCAGCGCCCCTCCCACACACCTGTCCTCCCCTCGTCTGCCAGGCACGCTGAGGCAAGTAAAGGCAGACTGAGAGAAAAATTAGAGGAAGACACAAGACTAGTGGAGGGGCCTTGGGGTGAGTTGGAGTGATCACCAGAAAGTTTAAGTTCACCCAGACTCTGAAATGATTTTTAAAACAAAAAAAGCAGATTAGATCATAAACTGCAGGGAACAGATTTCAAAGTGCATGTTCTTAAAGGAAAGATACTATTGTTGAATTTAAAGAGATCGATGCCCTTTTCAGGCACTCAGTTTAAAGAGATAATACAAATGCCTGATTTCTAGAGACAGGCTTATGTAAAGAGCAAACTGATTTCAAGGGACAGTCTTCTAAACACATCTCCTGGGAGAGAAAAAGTCCAAAAGGAAGGAGGAGGGACCAATAGCAACTGGATGGTGAAAGAGAAAGGAAGAAAGGGGAGAACTTGGTGTCCTGCGAGAACAAAGCAGAACTACAAATTTGAAGGGTTTAGCAGTATGATAGAAATATCTTCTTATGATTTACTATAAAATATTTTATGACCTGTTTGTTATCTAGCCATAGATAACATGGCTAGATATTTTAACATTTCTAGTGTTAAAATAGTAAGAGAAATTAAATATCATTAGATTTTTACTTTATCAGCTAACTTAGTATGGTAACATATTCTTTACTATTCCTCAGTGAAATGTTTCTGGACTTTTTTTTTTGTTTTGCCTTAATAGGAAAAAATTAAAAACTTTAGTCTTCTCAGAAACTTTCTGAACCCATGCCCTGTACACCAGCAGTCCGAAGTGTGGTCTGAGGACCCTGCAGACTCGCAGACACCCTCTCAGAGAATCTTCAGGGCTCTCTTCTGTAGCTCCGTGTCTGTGGAGGGCTGGCTTCGTTTCCTTCACAGACTTCAGCCTGAAAACCGTAGCAGATCAGTGTTGAAACAGTGCTGACACCCCAGCTTTCTTTTATTACACCAGCTATTAGAGTCACAAAAGTGTAAAACATGGCCATCTTTCCTCGTTATACTTTTTGTTTTAGAAAATAGAGTTATTTTAAGTAAACTGTGTTGTCTGTGTTAACATAATGGGTTTGTTATATATCGATAGATAAAACTGATCTAAAACAAAAATTCTTTTGAATCTCAGTAATTTTCACTCTATGAAGGGTTTCAGAGGCCAAAAACTTGGGAACTCTTCATTTGCATCTTGACTTTCTAAGACAGAATTGGTGGATTGTAAAATCTAAATATGACTTTACCTTTTTGTTTCTAATTTGTGGCTAGTTTTTTAAATTATAGTTGACATACAATATTATATTAGTTTCAGGTATACAACATAGTGATTCAGCACTTATATCCCTTACAAAGTGATCACAGTAAGTCTAGTAATCATCTGTTTCGTATGTAATAATTCCATTATTATTGACTGTATTCCTTTGCTGTACCTTATATCCCTGTGACTTATCTTATAACCGGAAGTTTGTACTTCCTAATTCCCTTCCTCTTTTCTGCCCCTCCCCCAGCCCTCCCCTCTGGCAACACTTTCTCTCTGTGAGTTTGTTTTTATTTCCTTTTGTTTCTTTGTTTGCCTTTTTTTAAAATAAGATTCCAGAAATAGGTAAAATCATACAGTACTTGTCTTCCTCTAACTTGTTTCACTTAACATAAAACTCTAGGTCCTTTAATGTTGCAAATGGCAAGATTTTATTCCCTTTCATACTAATATTCCATTGTACATGTATATGTATCACATCTTAATTGATTTACATTTCAGAAGACACCCAGGTTGCTTCCATGTCTTGGTTATTGTAAGTGGTGCTTCAGTGAATGTGAGAGTGCACGTGTCATTTCACCTTATTGTTTCCCTTTTCTTTGTGTAGATACGGAGGAGCGGAATTGCGGGGGCACGCGGTCCTTCCACTTGTAGCTTTTTAAGGCACCTCCACACTGTTCTCCACAGTGGCCGTGCTAGTTTACAGTCCCTCCAGCAGTACACAAGGATTTCTTTTTCTCCACATTTGTTTTGTGCTTTCTCTCTCTCTCTTTTTTTTGTAATAGCCATTCTGACAGGTGTGAGGTGATATTTCATTGTGATTTTGATTTGTATTTCCCTGATGACTAGTGATGTTGAGCATCTTTACATGTGTCTGTTGGTATGTTTTTGGAGAAATGTCTATTCAGCTTCTCTGGCCATTCTTTAATTGGATTGATGATTTGATATTGAGTTATAATGAGTTCTTTACATATTTTGGATGTTAACTTCTTATCAGATACATCATTTACAAATCTCTTCTCCCATTCGCTAGGTTGCCTTTTCATCTTGGGGATAGTTCCCTTCACTGTGTGAAACCTTTTTAGTTTATGTAGTCCCAGTTCTCTATTTTGGTTTTTGTTGCCTTTGCTCAAGGAGATGTATCCAAAAAACATTGCTGAGATTAATGTCAAAGTGTTTACTGCATGTTTTCTTCCAGGAGTTTAATGGTTTCAGGTATTACATTTAAATCTTCAACCATTTTGAGTTTATTTTTGTATATACCGTGAAAAAGTTGTCTGGGTTTATTCTTTTGCATGTGTTTTCCAACATTTATTAAAGGGATTGTCTTTCCCCATTCTGTATCCTTGCCTTCTCTGTCATAGATTCAGTGACCATATAAGCATGGGTCTATTTCTGGACTCTATTCTGCTCCATTGATCCATGTGTCTTTTTTTTTATTTTTGTTATTATTATACTTTTGTAAAGTATAGTTTACTGATTATGCTATAAAGTTGTCCTGATTTCCCCCCTTTTGCCCTCCTTCCCAGCGCCCCTTACTCCTTCAGGCAATTCCCCCACCCTTGTTCATGTCCACCAATCATGCATATAAGTTCTTCGGCTACTCCCTTTCCTATACTGCACTTTACATCCCCAAGGCTATTCTGTAACTACCTTGTTGTACTTCTTCATCCCCTCACCTCTCACCCATTCTCCAACACCCACCCTCCCATCTCTTTATCTTTAACCTTTGGCATTTTAATTATGATGTGTCTGGCGGGGGGCTCTTTGCATCCATCTTGTTCGGGACTCTCTGTGCTTCCTGGACTTGCATGTCTATTTTCTTCACCAAATTAGGGAATTTTTCTTTCATTATATTTTCAAATAGATTTCCAATTTCTTGCTCTTTCTCTTCTCCTTCTGGTACCCCCACAAAGCAAATGTTGAATTGCTTAAAGTTGTCCCACAGGCTGTTGACTCTATCCTTGTTTTTTTTGGATTCTCTTTTCTTCTTCTTGTTCTGATTGGTTGTTTTTTGCCTCCTTATGTTCCAAATAATTGATTTGATTTTTGGCTTCATCTGCTGTATTGTTGTCTCTCTGTAAATTGTTTTTTATTTCAGTTAGTGTATCCTTTATTTCTGACTGTATCTTTTTATGTTGTTAATATCCTCACTAGGTTCCTTGAGCATTCTTATGACCAGTATTTAAAAATTTTTTTATTTATTTTTAGACAGAGGGGAAGTGAAGGAGAGAAGCATCAATGTGTGGTTGTCTCTCCCATGCCCACTACTGGGGACCTGGCCTACAACCCAGGCATGTGCCCTGACTAGGAATCAAACCAGCGACCCTCTGGTTTGCAGGCTGGCACTCAATCCACTAAGCTACACCAGCCAGGGCTATAACCAATATTTTGAACTTTGCATTTGATGGATTGCTTATCTCCATTTGGTTTAGCTCTTTGTCTAGAGTTTTGATCTGTTCTTTCATTTGGGCCATGTTTCTTCATCTCCTCATTTTGACAGCTTCCCTACGTTTGTTTCTGTGTATTAGGTAGAGCTGCTTTGACTCTGTGTCTTGGTAGTGTGGCCTCATAGAGTAGGTGTCCTGTGGGGTCCAGTGGCACAGCCTCCTCATCACCCAAGCTGGGTACTCGAGGTGCGCCCTTCGTGTGGGCTGAGTACACCCTCCTCTTGTAGTTGAGTCTTGGTTGCTGTTAGCAAATCAGTGGGAGGAATTTGTCCAGGCCAGTCAGCTACAAGGACTGGCTCTGACCACTGGCCACCAACCTCAGCCCTTCCTGGAGGATCAGCTATTCAGGGCCAGAGTGGGGGTGCTCCAGCATGGTCTGTAGCTGTCCACTGGGTATGCTGGCCGCTGGGGTTTCCTTGGTGGTACAGCCCAAGGTCAGCCTTGACTTGTGTTTTGCCTGGGGCCACCACCATGCCTGAGTTATAGAGCAATCTGAAATGGCTGCTACTTGTGCTGGGCTTGGAGATTCTCAGGTGAAGCCAAGCTGTGAGTCTAGGTTACTAGTTCCAGTCCTAGGGCTCACTGAGGCCAGCTGCTGCTTGTTTAAGAGGATTTAGGAAGTAGTAAAGCACGAGCCAAGACCATTCACGTGGAAAAGCAGCTTAGGTGGGCCGCTAAATTGGGTTGGGTAGAGTCTGTGGCAATCCCCAGAGTGGGTCAAACAGTGTTAGCTAGGTTGATAGAATCTTAGATAAGGCTCCAGTCTGCCGGCTCTGTGAGGCTAGGGCCCGGAAAAGGGACAGTGGCTTCCGCTCACCTTCATGCCATATACCTAAGCCTCCCCCTGCGTGCCACTGTGCCCCTCAAGCCACAACCCTGTCACTGGAGCCCAGAGGGAATGAGTCTGAGTAGGTGAGGCTGTGTGTAGTTTCTTTAAGAGAAACTGCTTAGTGCTTCAGCAGTTTCTTCCACTGACCCAAACCTGGCTGGTTTTTGCAGCCAGATGT